TTTTTAAAAAAAATATATTAAAAAATCCAAAATGCCCTGAAAACTGACAAGAAGCAGAAACATGGCAATCAAACCTTGCCAAACGGATGGGTTCCCTGGGAGGCCATGAAAATCTAATCTCTGTTTGTTTTCCAGCCGTTGTTCCGCTCTGTGCGTCAAATGTTCCGAGTCAGCGTCGACGAGCGAAAAGCAGCCAGACGCAGTTAAAAAAACAAAACACGTTGTCATCTCAGAACTGCAGTTTGAATGTCTCCTAGCGTTTTGAAAACCTTTTATCGCCTCACAACCACCTGTTCCCACAACACGGAGCAGTTTAACGATAGCAGGCGTATATTAACATTTCTACCCACCCATCCCACAGTGCAAAACGGAAAAGGGGAAATTCCTTTTCTTTTTCTTTTTCAACTATAGCAATGGAATGCACTGAAGTATAGTGTTTTGAAAGTGCTCAAGTCATGCTGCCTCTGCAGGCAAGGATCCTTTTCCAAGTATTCTGGATAAAGTTCTCAAGAACAGCTGAATATGAATTTTTGTCTGTTGTATGAAAGCAACAGCCTATCTAGTCATACCAGTGTTAGAAACTCAGATATACAGTGGTACCTCGGGTTACATACGCTTCAGGTTACATACACTTCAGGTTACAGATGCCACTAACCCAGAAATAGTGCTTCAGGTTAAGAACTTTGCTTCAGGATGAGAACAGAAATCGTGCTCCGGCAGCGTGGCAGCAGTGGGAGGCCCCATTAGCTAAAGTGGTGCTTCAGGTTAAGAACAGTTTCAGGTTAAGAACGGACCTCCGGAACGAATTAAGTACTTAACCCGAGGTACCACTGTATAAGCTAAGGCACCAAATGGCTCCTGAAACCAAGGTTATGTCTGGTTGCCACTGGGGGGTGGGCAAGACAGCTCTAAAGTCTTATTTTTCAAATGATTGACTGTGATTGATTCACAGTTAAATATGTGGCTAGTTTAGATGATAGACTTGAGCTAGGTTAGAACTTTGGAAACTCAAAGAAGAAAAGCCAGTTGATCCTGTCCACCTATCTATTGGCCTATTATTCTAACCTCTTTTTTTCTTAAGGTGACACAGACCATTCATAATGTAGGGATATTCTTCACAACTGTGAGCAGGGCAGTGAGGTGGGGTAAATGAAGACAAGCTACAACAATTAATGATAACGTTCTTCACTGCTCCTGCTCAGGCTGCACAGAAAAAGCATTTTGGGTTCCTGTGTGGAGAAGGGCTTTCTTTCACACATTCGCTTTGTACAACATATTAGAATCTTACTTCATAGACCTATAAACGCAACACATGTGCTGAATCACCAGGGAGTGTTCACCTTTTCAAAGAAGCGGGGTGTGTAGAGTCTTAAGTGGCGTGCTGTAGTAGAATTTAAACTAGGCCGACAATAAATGAAATAAAAATAGACTTGCAAAGGAATCCAGTTGTCTGTACAGTGGTACCTTGGTTCTCAAACGCCTTGGTACTCAAACAACTTTGAACCCAAACACTGCAAACCTGGAAGTAAGTGTTCCGGTTTGCAAAAATTTTTGGAAGCCAAACATGCTCCGTTTTGAGTGTTACTCTCAGGTCTCTGTTTTTGCTATTTATTTTGCATTTTTGTTTTTGTGACTTTTTTTGTTTGTTTTGTTTTTGTGACTGTGTGGAACCCAGTTGAGCTACTGATTGATTGTGTGACTGCAGCACATTGTTTATTGCTTTCATTTTATGGATCAATGGTCTCGTTAGATAGTAAAATTCATGTTAAATTGCTGTTTTAGGGGTTGTTTGTCTGGAACAGATTGATCCATTTTGCATTAGTTTCTATGGGAAAGCGCGCCTTGGTTTTGGAATGCTTTGGTTTTGGAACGGACTTTCAGGACAGATTAAGTTTGAGAACCAAGGTACCACTGTATTTGCAAACATCCCCAAAGAAAGATGTGCCTTGGAAGTGTACCGTTGTAGCTGGGATAGATCTTCTGAATGGTGTTTGATTGAGTAAATGAGCTGGGAATTCCATATAAACAACACCAGCATCTTCATGAATTTAAAAGGTAAAGGTAAAGGACCCCTGACAGTTAAGTCTAGTTGCAGACGACTCTGGGGTTGTGGCGCTCATTTCGCTTTACAGGCCGAGGGAGCTGGCATTTGTCCGCAGACAGTTTTTCCGGGTCGCGGCCAGCATGACTAAGCCGCTTCTGGTGCAACGGAACACCAAAACCAGAGCAGCACATGGAAACGCCGTTTCCCTTCCTGCCAGAGTGGTACCTATTTATCTACTTGCACTTTTTGGCGTGCTTTCGAACTGCTAGGTTGACAGGAGCTGGGACTGAGCTACGGGCGCTTATTGCGTTACAGGGATTTGAACCGCTGATCGGCAAGCCAAAGAGGCTCAGTGGTTTAGACAACTTGAATTTAGGACAGAGCAAAAAACTGGGAGGTCTTGGATTAACAAACTGTTTTAAAATATCTATATCTATAGCTACCTTTTTGGTGTCTGCCTCCCTGAAAGTTTAAATCCTGAAAGATGCCACGGGAGTTTTCCAAAATAAATCTCTGTGTTGTGGTTCTGTCAGCCAAACAACCGCTTTTAAACAGGTCGATCTGCTTCTGTCATCTTGTCTTTCCTCTGTGTGTGTTCAGAAGAAGAAATCCTGACTCTGCAGTGTCGGAGACAAGCAAGCCTGTTGCATGATCTCTCTTTGACAGACCCGCCCAATCTTGGCCCATTTAGCACAGGGTGGAGAGAGAGAGAGAATGTGTATGCTGGACAGAATCGATTGCATTTGGAAAGCAGGAACTATTATATTTTCCCTTTGGCAATCGTTTCTGCATAGGTTTGAAGAATTCCTGCTTACTTTGGCCGCCAAATTCCGACAGCGAGCTACAAGTACACCCCATCTGTTTGCATGTATTTTCACTTGCTAGAAGAGTTGTACCACAATAACCATACCAAGTATTCAGCAAGGCTTGGTTCTCCTCGTCATTTTGTCTTTCCCGCTCCTCTTTGGCAACTGCTTTGGGACTTTTTTTTTACAATCAAGTAGTGTTATGAAGGGACGCGGGTGGCGCTGTGGGTTAAACCACTGAGCCTAGGACTTGCCAATTGGAAGGTTGGTGGTTCGAATCCTTGCGACGGGGTGAGCTCCTGTTGCTCGGTCCCTGTTCCTGCCAACCTAGCAGTTCGAAAGCACGTCAAAGTGCAAGTAGATAAATAGGTACCACTCCGGCGGGAAGGTAAACGGCGTTTCCGTGCACTGCTCTGGTTTGCCAGAAGCGGCTTAGTCATGCTGGCCACATGACCCGGAAGCTGTACGCCGGCTCCCTCGGCCAATAAAGCGAGATGAGCGCTGCAACCCCAGAGTCGGCCACGACTGGACCTAATGGTCAGGGGTCCCTTTACCTTTACTAGTGTTATGAAATACCTAAGTTGATCAAAGATTGTTTTGCCTGTTAATAAAATGCAGTAGTCTTAACTGAGAGCAATGAGGTATCTGAAAGTCTCAAAACACAATTGGAAAAGGCTGGAGATTTCTGTGCAGGTACTGAGGAAGAAGCAGTGCCCAGTGACATGATAATTTTGTCTTTGTCCTCCACCGATTACTCCATCTCGTGCTCCATCATATGGACGGTTTATTTTATTTTAGTATTCGAATTTATTGCACTGTCTACGTGGCTAGGCGCCGAGACCTAAATTGGGAACAGTGCGTGTAACGTTTTGTTTGAATCTCAAAGGCAGGGGTTTGTTCAGCCTGTTAGCCAGCTGAACATCGTGAGTTAGTAAACATTTGCTTTTCTCTTCCTTTTTTATGACGGCATATGGAAGCTGTTCCTATCTAGAGGCCTGCCAGAACAGCTTCCAACGCTCAGATGAATGGAGATGCTTGCATCCCTCAACTATCATTCCACAGGCCTGGCGTAAGCGAGACAGCTGGCTTGGATAGACCTCTTGGGATAAGTCACAGGGGCGTGAAGGCAGCGTTGCCATCTGTGCGGCGGATCGTTCCGCGTTTCCTCACAGCTTCTCTCTCTGTGTTCCACAAACTTTGCAAGGCTTTAGCTCAGGGGTGGGAAATGAATTTTTGTGGGGGGGTGGTGAATGTGGCCCAGAGGCAAAAGTGGGCAGAGGAACGAGTGTAAATTTCACCTTTGTACATAAGGCTGGTTTACACACACACACACACACACACACACACACACACACACGTTTCCTCCATCCTGGCTAGCAAGCTGCATTGTCAGTGTTCAAGGATGAAGGCTGGTGTCATGGTGGATGCCTTTATAAAAAGTGAATGAAGGAAGATTAGCAATTCCACCTAATAATAATAATTTGTTTGTTTGCTTGCTCGCTTGCTTGCTTCCCATCTGACTGGGTTTCCCCAACCACTCTGGGCGGCTTCCAGTAAATTATAAAACCACAATAAAGCCTCAAAACATTAAAAACTTCCCTATACATGGCTGCCTTCAGATGTCTTCTAAAAGTAAAATACAGTGGTACCTTGGGTTAAGTACTTAATTTGTTCCAGAGGTCCGTTCTTAACCTGAAACTGTTCTTAACCTGAAGCACCACTTTAGCTAATGGGGCCTCCTGCTGCTGCCGCGCCGCCAGAACACGATTTCTGTTCTCATCCTGAAGCAAAGTTCTTAACCCGAGGTACTGTTTCTGGGTTAGCAGAGTCTGTAACCTGAAGCGTATGTAACCTGAAGCATATGTAACCCAAAGTACCACTGTATTTGTTTTATCTCCTTGACATCTGACGGTAGGGCATTCCACAGAGAGGGTGCCACGACCGAGAAGGCCCTATGCCTGGTTCCCTGTAACTTCGCTTCTTGCTATGAGGGGGACCACCAGAAGGCCCTCAGCGCTGGACCTCAGTGTCCGGGCTGAATGATGGGGATGGAGATGCTCCTTCAGGTATACTGGGCTAAGGCCGTTTAAGCCCTCTTAGGCTTAAAGCGTGATAATAAAGAGACCTTTCCCTTCTCTTTCCCCCCTTTGACCCAGATGGAGGCAACTATGACTTGGTCAGTGACACGTCCAGCCCAGCCGCTGGGGACTGCCACCCTCGACGGAGCTGCGGAGGACAAAACTGGGAAATGAACTACCAGGAGTCAGCAATTTACCTCCAGGTGGGCCCTTTTCTTTGCATTACCTGGCAGAGAAAGGAGAGGGTGTAAATTAAGAGGGTGTATGGCTGACAAACTGAATTCCACCTTACAATTCCACCACCTATGATCAAAGGTTCCTTCTTTTTCTTTACATTTCCACCATACATTTGAGCATGTTTTATACATAAAGGAAGTATTTTCTTTTATCTTCCAATATTCAACTTCATGGGCTGCCTACGAGTTCTAGCAACTATAAGTTAAGGAGAAAAGCTTTTTTTCTGTTCACTTCACAAAGTGGTCTGCTAAGACCCTCATGTGGTCCATGTGGAAGAAAGGTTTTGGGAACCGCTGACTTACCTACTACATTGGGCTTGCTGTCTCTAGCGTATTTATGTGTGTGTGGATTTTGTTGATTAAAACCCTAAATCAGGAAGGAGAAAACAACGACAAATTCTTCACGCACCCTAAGGATGCCAAAGCGCTCTCTGCCTACCTCTTTGTACACAACCATCCCTTCTACCTAATGGAACTGACCACAGCACTGGTGCTCCTGATGCTCTCCCTCTGTGAGGCGCCTGCGGTCCCTATGCTTCGCCTTGGCATCTATGTAAGTATCTTAAGAATCAGGCGGAGGGGAAGGATTTTAGTGGACGTGGGCAGGAAATTGAAGATTGGCTATGCAATGCAATTGACGGGCAAATGCAGCCGTTGATGGAATCTAGACACATAAAAAAAAAGTTGTGAAAATGCTTAAAAAAACCCCCACGTTTTGAAAAATATATTGAATTTGCCATAACTCACCGTTGCCATCTAGTGTCACATCTGTGTAATGCACTTTACAACACACTTAAAATGTTTTTATTTGCAGCTGTATAGCTGAGTCTGCTCTGCCTGTATCTTTGAGCCATGTTTATTCGTAAAATTTGGGTGATATACAGGGGTACAGTGTAACTAAAGGGCCTTGTGTTCCCAGTGTTCCCAAATATTTAGCTGCGGAGCATAGAGAGCAACTCCTTCTTGGTGTTCTTCCTGCACACCTTCTCCAGAGTGACCCTAGGAGCCCATCCTCTGTGGCTGACTCAACTCCTTTCTAATTATTATCAGCCTCCCATCTGCCAACAGCTGCTGTTTGAATAAAAAAAATATCGGCATGTTAAATGCAGTACAACATTTAACAACAACGATACCCCACTCACCCGACTGGGTTGCCCCAGACACTCTGTGTGGCTCCCAGCATAATATAAAAACACAGTAATGCATCAAACATTAAAAGTTTCCCAGTGCAGGGCTGCTTTCAGATGTCTTTGGAAAGCTCTGTAGTTGTTTCCTTGACATATGATGGGAGGGCGTTCCACAGGGTGGGTGCCACTACCAAGAAGGCCCGCTGCCTGGTTCCCTGTAACTTCACTTCTCACAGTGAGGGAACCTCCAGAAGGCCCTCAGAGCTGGACCTCAGTGTCCGGGCTGAATGATAGGAGTAGAGATGCTCCTTCAGTTATACAGTGGTACCTCGGGTTAAGTACTTAATTCATTCTGGAGGTCCGTTCTTAACCTGAAACTGTTCTTAACCTGAAGCACCACTTTAGCTAATGGGGCCTCCTGCTGCTGCCACACCACCGGAGCACAATTTCTGTTTTCATCCTGAAGCAAAGTTCTTAACCCGAGGTACTATTTCTGGGTTAGTGGAGTCTGTAACCTGAAGCGTATGCAACCCGAAGTATCACTGTACAGGGTTGCATTTAACATTACATATAGTTCGGTTTTTTAAAAATGGAAAGGATAATTCACATTGCTAATATATATCCATGTTTTCCAGCTCTGGTGGTGGGGGTGGGGAAAAAGAACAGATTTCCGCAGAATGATATGATTTCTACTTGAGCACTAGGTTTTGACAAATTTAAATTGGTGAAACAACAAAGCCATTTCGTTGAACTGATGTTGTTGTCCTTTGCCTGCCTGGTTACAGATCCACGCGACCCTGGAGCTGCTTGCCCTGACTGTTGTGGTGTTTGAGCTCTCTATGAAGATGAGATGGCTGGGCCTGCACACCTACATTCGACACAAAAGGACCATGGTCAAGGTAGACTGCTGGTAACCTTCTCACCTAACTGATCTGCACTGTTGCAGGAACCAGAGTGCAGCCCTCTGCAATATTTTGTTTTTTAACTCAAAAGCAAATCCCACTCTTCCCCCACATTCTCTTTTAATTTAAACAATGTATCACCTTCTAAAGCAGTACAGTGGTACCTTGGTTCTCAAACGCCTTGGTACTCAGACAACTTGGAACCCAAACGCCGCAAATCCGGAAGAAAGTCTTCCAGTTTGCAAACTTTTTTCGGAAGCTGAACGTGCTCCGTTTTGAGTGTTACGCTTCCGATTTGAGTGTTATGCTGAGGTCTGTCTGTTTTTGCTATTTGTTTTGCATTTTTGTTTTTGTGGCTCTTTTTTGTTTTGTTTCTGTGACTGTGTGGAACCCAGTTGAGCTACTGATTGATTGTGTGACTGCAGTACATTGTTTATTGCTTTCATTTTATGGATCAGTGGTCTCGTTAGATAGTAAAATTCATGTTAAATGGTGTTTTAGGGGTTGCTTTTAAAAGTCTGGAACGGATGAATCTGTTTTGCATTACTTTCTATGGGAAAGCATGCCTTGGTTTTGGAACGCTTTGGTTTTGGAACGGACTTCCGGAACAGATTGAGTTTGAGAACCAAGGGACCACTGTATCTCAGATAAACACGAGAATAAGAAATACCGTATTTTTCACCTGCGCACTGCCCCATAGGACGCACCTAGATTTTTGGGGGGGAAATAAAGAAAATCCCCCCCCAGGCGCAGGGCTGGCGCGGCGGAAGCCTAAGCTTCCCCCAACCCCAGCCCCGAGAACAGCCTGCTATCCGCAAGCCTAGGGAGCCCGGCGGGAAGTCACGCCGGTCTCCCCAGGCTTGTGGAGAGCTGCGTGAAGCCCAGGTGCGCTCTTCAGCACGCCCCAGGCTTCGGAATGCAGGCAGCTCTGCGCAACCCTTGGGAGACCGTCGCGACTTCGCGCCGTGCTCCCGAGGGCTGCGCAGAGCTGTGTGAAGCCCGGGACTGCAGGCAGCTCTGCGCAGCCCTTGGGTGACCGGCACGACTTCGCGCCGGGCTCCCGAGGGTTGCGCAGAGCTTCCTGAAGCCTGGAGAGCGAGAGGGGTCGCTGCGCACCAACCCCTCTCGCTCTCCAGGCTTCAGCGAAAGCCTGCATTCGCCCCATAGGACGCACACACATTTCCCCTTCATTTTTGGAGGGGAAAAAGTGCGTCCTATAGGGCGAAAAATACGGTACCTTTAAAACAAGACTAAAGCCCTAACAGTGGTAAAGACCCATTTATCCAGCTTGAAAAGCCTGTTGGAACAAAAAATATCTTCAACTGTTTCTGGAAAGTACAGCTAGTGGGAGCTTGTTGTATCTTGATAGGAATACCGTTCCTGTAGCCTGAATCTGTCAGTTGCTTCTGAGCCATGTGGTTTGGCAATTTGGGGAGGGGTGTGTGTGTGTGTGTGTGTGTGTGTGTTGGCAAGATGTCCCATGCCCCGTCCTACTGAATCTTGGCTTATCTGAACTAGCCGTTTGCATCTGCAGCTCTTTCTGTTCCTACTGATGTTGATGGCTTACTCTGCAGAGCAAAAGGTGGTTTCTGATTACAATTATCAGTTTTAGGTCCAGCCTTTTACTGTCATCTTTGGGGACTCTTTGTTATCGTGCATACCCAACCCTCCCAAACAACTGCAACCTTACTTTTGGCCAATTATTTTCAATAGATGCTACTTTTTTCTCTGGCTTTGTTTATTACTGTATCAGAGGAACTTATACTGAGCCAGACCATTGGTCCACCTAGCTCAAATGTTGTCTACACTGGCTGGCAGCTGCTCTCTAGGTTTCCAGATAGGGAGTCTCTCCACAATGCCAGGGATCGAACCTGGAGACGCTGACCTTTCCGCAGTTATGTTGGTCCCTGCAGCAGTATATGTCCTAAAAAACTTTGGGGTAAAATTGTAAAAAAAGCTCAACAACTTTGGTTGGCCCTCAGGCATGTTCACTTCATCAAATCTGGCCCTCTTTTGAAAAAGTTTGGGCACCCCTGAGTAGGGTCTTTGTTGGACTTACCGTATTTTTCGCTCGACAAGACGCACCCAACCATAAGACGCACCTAGTTTTTAGAGGAGGAAAACAAGAAAAAAAATATTCTGAATCAAATGTTGTTGAAGAGGCTTTGTGCGGCTATCGCTGAAGCCAGAACAGCAAGAGGGATCGCTGCGCAGCAATCCCTCTTGCTGTTCTGGCTTCTGGGATAGCTGCGCAGCCTGCATTCGCTCCATAAGACGCACACACATTTCCCCTTACTTTTTAGGAGGGGAAAAGTGAGTCTTATAGAGCGAAAAATACAGTAGGTTTCAACAGATGCCTTCAGTGTACTTAGAGGAGAGAAACTTTGGAATAGCTCCTATGGAACGGAAATGCATTGTAGTGCAGTGTAATCAGGTTGAGAATATCACACACTATTTGTTGATGTGCCCAGGGATTTTTTTTTATCTCCTATTCTTAATTGGTTCCCAGACCAATCCCGCCAGGAAGTGATAGTTGACCTCTTCGCTGATAAATATCCACAAATATCTGGTAGCCAAATTTTCTCTGGCAGCTAAGAAGCTTCGCTCCAGTTACGTTAATGCATTGTAATTCAAAACTTTCATGTAATAATTTTTTATGCTGTAGACTTTTACTCTGTAGATGTTCTAGGTTATATGTGTGTTTTCAGAACCCACCCTATTCCTGCAATACTAATTTGTTTAAACTCCCCCCCCCGAACTTTGACTTGTTATAGCCCGGCATGGGACCTGCTTGTGAAGGGCAGGTAATAAATTTTATTGCCACCATCTCTTGTCTTGTTTCCTTGCAGAGCTGTGTTCTGTTGCTGCAGTTTATAGAGGCAATTGTAGTGTTGGTGCGTCAGACATCCCATGTCCGGATCACGAGAGCCTTGCGATGCATCTTTCTGGTGGACTGCCGTTACTGTGGAGCTGTCAGAAGGTAATGGGCTGGCTGGCCTCCATTGAACTCTGTGTAGCACTCCTGGCCATAGCTGTCAACCTTTCCCTTTTCTTGCGAGGAATCCTGTTCAGAATAAGGGAATTTCCCTTAAAAAAAGAGAAACATTGACAGCTATGCTCCTGGCTATGGTTGGGCATAGATATGGGAAGGCCTGGAAAAAAACCGGAAAAATTGGGGGGGAAACAGGTTTCTCCCCGGTTTTTCCGTCCCCCCCCATGCCTTTTTTCCCAGAAAAAAAAGAAAAAAAAATATCAGTTTGATATAGTTTGAATATTCCACACACTCCCCCCCCCCAATTTTTCTGGAAAAAAACGGCTTTGGAAAAAGAATGGGGGGGAAACCTCCCCCCATTTTTCTGGTTTTTCTCCAGGCCTTCCCATAATCTGGTTTTCAGCATCACAATATAGCACCAGCTAAACATCGCGATGTACCAATATTTCACGATGTCTGAAATAATGATGGGGCTATGTTGAGGCGCAAAGGGAAAAACCAAGTGTCTTGCAGACATTGTTGAACTACAACTCCCACTATCCCTGTCTATTTGCTGTGTGAACTTGGGTTGATGAGTGTCAGAGTCCAACCACAACTGGAGGCACCCCACTGGCTGCCCTTGTCGTACAAGCATGGGAAGGGATATTAAGGAAGAACGTTTTCCTTTGAGCCAACTCCTGATTCAGCTTTCATTTCAGGAACCTACGACAGATTTTCCAGTCTCTTCCTCCGTTTATAGACATCCTCCTGCTGCTGCTTTTCTTCATGGTCATCTTTGCTATCCTTGGTGTGTACCTTTAAGAGTTATCTGTTCACGAGCAGTTTCGCCCTCGCAGACGCTTTCAGCAAAGATGGCAGCATTGTGTTAGACAGGCATAGGCTGCCAAGCAAATAGCGTCTTTGCCAAGGTGAAAACAGGTTTGGGGATGGGGACAGAAGATGGTGTAAGAGGCCGAAGCTAAGGAGCTCAGGTCAGCAAACAGATAACAGTGTTTTTTAAAAAAACATTCTAGAACAGTTAAACAGTCTAAAAACCATTACCTTTAAAAGCATCTTAAATCAGTTTCAGATAAAAACATTCTAAAAGCAATTACTGTTAAAAGCAGGCTTCCATACAACGATTTTGTGGTGGCCAGCAGCGGTATTCTTGAGCCACCAAACGCCTGGGTAAACAGGTGTGTTTTCAAATTCCTCCTGAAGGTTAGTAATGATGGAGATGTGGGAATGTTCAGGGTGGCAGGAGAGGATATATTGTTTATTAATATCCTTCCTAACCTGTGCTAGCAAGTTCCTTTACTTAGCAGGGTTACATTCCCCTTTTTATATGCACAGCAGATAGCTGGTTGCAGGCTCGCGTAAGCCACTCACTATTATACCATTCAGTCTGTCTCAGATTGAATTGTACGTTCCTGGTAAGTTCCCTTGAATCCCTCTCAGAAGAATAGAGACGTGACAATCTTATTCAAAGTCGGTTAAAGAAGTTTACTCACATCAGTTCACAGTTGGATCCCTGAAGGCAGACTTAGTTACAAATATGTACATGTGGATCTACCCCATATGGGGGAATAATCCCAGTGCTTCTGCTAGCAGAGCAGTCCTAGCTAGAAGCTGGTCAAATGAAGAAGGAAGTTAAAAAGAGAGAGATGTGCTGCGTGACTCGTCCTTTTGCTACCTGGACAAGTTAGGTCACACCCACCTTCTGTCACATGCAACAGGAAGGATGCTCCAGCCAGGAGGAACAGGAAGTTTCAACTGGCTGGACCAAACATTCCCTCGCATGTCTTCTCTAGCATTACAAGGAATGTTGTACTTGACTGCCTCTCATGGATCACATCCCACAGGAGACAGGGCACCTCCCTGAGAAGGGCATTCCACAAGCCAAGGAACCCTGTTGTGGGCCTGCATGGGAAATAGATTCCGCAAAGTGTGTGCTGATTGGCAAGGACTCGCCTGTTGTGGGCCAGAACCAACCGGGCTACCCCTGGTAGGTGGCACCACTAACAAGGTGTCAAAATAAACTTAACACAGGCCAGCTAGATGAGATTTGTTAAAATGATGGTGCAACATTGCTTCTACTTGCCAGCTGGTTGAATGTCCCGTTTATGCCTTTATCATTTTGATTCTTTTCTCTCTCTCTCTCTCTCTCTCTCTCTTCTCCCCCTTTCTCCCTAGGCTTTTATTTGTTCTCTCCTAACAAGTCTGATCCTGTAAGTAAAGCATCAATACATGGGCTCTTGAAGGTTTGATCTTTGGGGGTCATTTGCAAAGCATGACGGGCATGCGTCAATTGGCAACTGTCTGCAACTCTTGGCTGCGGCCTCCGTGGATGGGGAAAGGGCAGGGTTGCCATCCTGCCTGAAACTAGGTGGCAGCAGCTGTCCCTTTTGCGGCCAGAGGGTCTATTAATTAGGGAAGGAAGCTCTCGCTGCTGCTCTTGCATTTCTGTAGGGGACTTCCCTGCAGTTTGTATTGGAAACAAACTCCATGGGGATTATTATAAACACAGCCTCTAAGGGAGCCCTTGGAAGCAATGTGTTGTTTTATGATTCAGGACATGTTGTGCGACAACAATCAGCGGTAGTTCCGTCATCTCATAGATGTTCTTATTCTGCAGTATTTCAGCACCTTAGAGAACAGCCTTGTGAATCTTTTCGTTCTACTGACTACAGCGAAGTAAGTTGCTTGAGCTCGTCACATGTTATTTAAAGTCACATGTTATTTAAAGCACATGACTAACAGTTGTGGCTCGCCCCCCCCCCAAAGAATCCTGGGACCTGAACATTCTTTTAAAGCCACCCAAGTCAGTGACTATCAGTCACCTCCTGTGGCAGTGAGTTCCATAGATTAACCTTGCACTGCCGTGAATCTCCCAGCAATCGATTCCCAAGTCACGCATGCTTGGGAATAAGCTCCATCAAAATAAGTCCTTTCTTTTATCCAACCTGAATCTTCCAACGCTTAGTTTCATTGGAAGTCCACGAATTCTAACATTATGAGAGAGGTAGAAAAAACTCCCCCCCACCACTTTCTTCATGCTGTATACAATCTTAACAAACTTCTGTTGTGTCACCTCTTACTTGCCTGCTCTCTAAACTAAAGGGGTTCTTTGTTAAGTGAGCTGGGAATTGTAGCTTTGCGAGGGAACAAGCTACAGCTCCCATGACTTATTGTGAATAAGCGAGATTATCTCTCTTTTGGGTTGCAGTTTCCCAGATGTGATGATGCCCTCTTATGCCAGAAGCTCCTGGTCTTGTGTCTTTTTTATTGTGTATCTTTCCATTGAGCTGTACTTCATTATGAATTTGGTAAGTCCATCTTCTTTGTCCATCACCGTTGAGCTTCCAGGTGGCCACTCTCTTTAGAACAGGGGTGAGGGACATTTTGGCCCATCACAGGTTGCTGAACTACAATTCCCATCTGTGCCCCCCCCCACACCAAGAATGGCTAATGGTCAGGCATGATGGGTGTTGTAGTTCAGCAACTTCTGGAGGGCCAAAGGCTCACCACACCCCCTTGAGAACTGTTCTTTCCAGACTTGCCACGATTTTGTGGTGTTTAACTGCAAAAGTCGGGGGCAGCCTTTGACCTTTGGAATAGCTGCAACTTCCAAAGGGGGAGCTGTGTTCATCTGCAGAAGCGAAAATGTGGGCGTTTTGTAGCATCATAAAGATGAGCACACTTCTTTTGGCCTATGCTTTTGCGAACTAGATTCACTTCTAAGTATCTAGTCCATGAGGGGTTATGCTGTCATGAATTTGCAGGCCTTGTATGGTGCCACAAGACTCTTTGCCATATAGCTACTCCTGAATTTTTGTTTTATGGATAGGGCCCATTTCCTCATTTTTTGATACTTTTTATTTCATGCAAATATTTTTGAACTGTTATGATTTACCAGGTGCCCTCAGAATCCAGCATGCTTTCTTTCCTTCCTTCCTTCCTTCCTGGGATAACAGTGGCTTTCCATCATGGAGCTTCTCTGGGAGGTTCCCCTTCAAGTATTCTTCAGCCACCCAATTGCCTGATTTGATTTTTTTTAAAAAAATCATTGATTTCTATCCACCCTGCTCAAAGTGCTTCCTGTTCTGTTGATCAATGGCTCGTTGCTGATTAATGGGGAAAAGTTCCTTCTTAGGGTGCTCTTTCCATCACATTCTGGTGCTGTGTAGAACTTGACAGCTGCCAGTTGCAGACTGTAGTTAGACTTCTCCTCCCGCCCCTCTTTGTTTAGCTACTCGCCGTTGTGTTTGATACTTTCAATGATATTGAAAAGAAGAAGTTCAGATCACTGCTGCTTCACAAGCGCACAGCCATACAACACGCCTACCAACTGCTTGTCAGCAAACAGGTATGTGGCTCTCTGCATGTTTGCACGCGTGTGCATGTGAACGAGGTAACCATTTTTTGTCTGTGGCAGTCAGCACTCTTGCTAAGTACCACTGCTCTTATAAGCTTTGAGTGTTCCAGGAATCTGGTGCTTTCAGTGGATCTGAAGCTCCAGGGTCCTCATGGATCTCAATATATACCGAAGGGTATATTTTACCCTGCTGATGATGCTCATCGACTGATAAGGCTGACATCAAGGCAATATAGTCAATAAAACAGTCAATAAAAGATAAAATCAGAGCAGTTTTTAAAAGTGGCGTTACAGCCAAGATTACTAAAAAAATGTTTTTTAATCCATCGCAGAAAAATCTGCATTAAAATCCTTCAAAAACAAAAAAGGTTGTCACATTGTGCAGCAAATGAAAAAAAAACCCACCTTATTAGAAAACATGCAGGTGAATGTTCTGTTGATAGAAAAACTGTTGTAACTGGCGTATCAGTTGTGTTGCCAAAATATACAAACAGCCATTGGATTTCTTGCTAGATTTGGTCTCTTCATGTGCACTTCTGTTGAGCGCCTGATAATGTTCCACTTCATTTATACTTAAAAAAGAGAGAAAGAGCACTTATTTATTTAGCTTTTATAAGCATTCAAACAGTAAGCGTAACAGATCAGTCTGATAGGCAATTACAAGAAATCAGTATCATTGATATATGCACAGGGTCATTACAGTAAGGTAGCACAAGGAACTACGTATTTAGATCTGGGAACGAAATAGAAGATAATATGTTTAACCCAAAAGCTCCCTTTATGTTTGATAAACAGTGTCTTTTATCGTTGGTCTCAATTGTACACGCAGTCCTCCGTGAGCAGAGTGTTTAGGTGTGTGCCTTTCTATCGTGATGTCTTTGACTGGTTGGATGCTGTGGAATGATGGGAGGAACCAGCTGGGGAAAGAAGACTCAGAGCCAGGGGGTTGGTGGTGGGACAACGATGAGTGGTCAGAGGGAGGAAAGAGAGCAGACAGGGAGGAGGAGGAGATGTCGGACACCGAAGAGGCAACAGGGTTTAGTGAGCAGGAAGAGTCTGTGGCAGAGAGCAATCCAGAATCAGAGGCAGAAGAGGAGGCTGGAGAGGAGGGAGGCCAAGAGGCAGAGATGAGGAAGGCTGCTGGAGAAGCCAGGGAGTCTCCCCCTCCTGCTGCGACCAGCTTCCCTCTTCCCTGGTCTCCCAGAACCAAAGGAGGTATGAAGAGGGTGGAGCAAAGACAGGCTAGAGGAAGGAGCCTCAAATTGCTTGGGAAGGAACTGGGGGAGGAGGAGACTTTGGGAACACTGGGAAGGCGGGGACCTTCAGCCTTTGCAACTGCCTCATTGGGACAAGAGCTACTGGGAAGGTTTGCTGTGCTCAATAGGCCTAACTCCCTGAGCTGCCTTGTTTCTTTGAATAAAGTTAACTTCACTGAAGACGTGCGAGTCCTTGCAGACTTGCTCCTGGCAACTGCTCCTATTGCCCGACCTGATTCTGAACACGGAGGGCATATTGACTTGCACATATTAGCCTCCAGTTTCTTTCCCTGGCTGTAAATGGAAGGCAGATTGAGAAGTTTCTGTGGGCAACTCACTTAGGGAAATCCTTTTCCTCCCTTCTAGAGACCCTCTGGAATCTCCTTCAAGCAGTTTGATGGGCTGATGCGGTTTTATAAACCTCGGATGAGCGCTCGAGACCGTTACCTTACCTTCAAAGCACTGAATCAAAGCAATACCCCTTTAGTCAGGTGGGGACCCCTCTATTTGTGTCGGGTGGTAGGGGTGGGGCAAAGGGGCAAAGGGGTGGGGGTTAACTGAGAAGAGAAATGGATTCCATGAAGAATTAAAAGAGCATCAAACACCCCTAATTCTGAAACAAAGGATGGTGTTCAACTAAGCTTTACTTGGCCTGGTAGCAAATCGGCAACGAGTTCAGGTTTCTGAGCAGTAATGTTAATATGTAGATGGCCTATGCGATTACACAGTAGAAGCTTTCATTGAGGTAGGGTAGAACCTAGTTTTTGCAAAGTCTTAATGAAAACTTGAGGGAGCTTCAGCCAAGAACTCTCAGGTCTTTGGACTGGATAACTTAGTGAATAAATAGTAGTAGTAGTAATAATAATAATAATAATAATAATAATAATAATAATAATAATAATAATACCCATCTAACTGGGTTGCCCAAGCCACTCTAGGCAGCTCCCAACAAAATATTAAAAACACAATAAAACCACAAACATTAAAAACTTCCCTGTACGGGGCTGCCTTCAGATGTCTTCTTAAAGTCACATAGTTTCAGATAAACAACAACAAATGGAAGGGCGTTGTACAGGGTGGGTGCCGCTACTGAGAAGGCCCTCTGCCTGGTTTCCTATATTTTCACTTCTCTCAGTGAGGGAACCAGCAGAAGGCCGTAGGTGCTGGATCTTTGTCCAGGCTGAATGATGGGGGTGGAGATGCTCCTTCAGGTACACCGGGCCGAGGCCATTTAGGGTTTTAAAGGTCAGCACCAACACTTTGAATTGTGCTCGGAAACGTACTGCAATGTGATTTCACATGAGCGATGCCCTGATTGTAAAATCCAACTCTTATAGAGGTCAATCTTCTTTTCAGTCTAAAGGATATGTACAATTTCTATGAAGTTGTTGGTTTAAAATGGAAGGTAAGTAATGTTGTTGTTGTTTGTGGATGTGGGGTAGCTAAGGATGGGGGAGACATTCTATTCAGTTCGCATTTGAAGGTGAAACCTACCGTAACTGATCTTCCTGAAACCATACGCAAATCGAAACACAGACATCCTTTGAAATTCACACTTCTCTGAATTTCGCAATGCCGAATAAAATGTGTACAAAAACGCATATACCAGGGTGAGGTGTCCACTGAAAATAGCACACAAAATGCATGGTATTAAAAGGAACTGCTTTGCAAACACTTGTAAACAAGGCAAAAATCGCATGCAATATATATTTTACAAAGAAATTAACACCAAATTGCTGGTGAATTTTCATGAGGACTTAAAAAAACCTGTTGCAGACTGATGTGGAAATGAGGAGAGCTGAAAAATGAGGAACAGAGAGAGACAGAAATTGACAGATTTGCCCATTCTTAGGAAAGGGGAAGGATGAGGGCATTGATTTATTTACTGTCAAAGAAGAGTTATGTTGGTGGAGATAGCGGAAACTCCTGAAAGAGGCGTCTTGTGCAGTTTTGTTTTAGCTTTTGTTACTGCCAATAATGCTACAATGTGCAAACCAAGACATCTTAAATAAAGGCTGTTCTGTGGCCTGTTCCATTTCCAGGCTAAAAGGAACCGGGAACATTGGTTTGATGATCTTCCACGGACAGCGTTCCTTATTTTTAAAGGTAAAGGCCTGGTGTTTCAGAGCCGATGCAGCTGGAGGCCCTAGCGTGGTTAGAGTCTTGGACTAGGACCTGGGCCTCAAACCCCCACTCAGCCATGTTGAAATGGGTGACCTTGGCCTAGCCTCTCGCTCTCCGCCTAATCTACCTCACAAGGTTGTTGTGAGGACAAAAAAGAGGAGGGGGGAGAACTATGTACACCGCCTTGAGCACCTTGGAGGAAATGCGGAGAGATAAAAATGTAATAAAGAAATTTCCAAAGACAAGGCCCCCTCCCTATGGCTTCTTAGGAGCTGCCTTCTCATCCTACATGGGAAGAGGAACTGGCAGGAGTGAGTTCAAGCTAATAATAATAATAATAATAATTTATTATACCCCGCCCATCTGGCTGGGTTTCCCCAGCCACTCTGGGCGGCTTCCAACAAGAGATTAAAAATACATTAAAACATCAGCCATTAAAAACTTCCCTAAACAGGGCTGCCTTCACATGTCTTCTAAACGTCAGATAGTTGTTTATTTCCTTGGGAGGGCGTTCCACAGGGCGGGCGCCACTACCGAGAAGGCCCTTTGCCTGGTTCCCTGTAACTTCGCTTCTTGCAGTGAGGGAATCGCCAGAAGGCGCTGGACCTCAGTGTCCGGGCTGAACGGTGGGGGTGTGGACACTCCTTCAGGTATACAGGGCTGAGGCTGTTTAGGGCTTTAAAGGTGAGCACCAACATTTTGAATTGTGCTCTGAAACGTACTGGGAGCCAATGTAGGTCTTACAGGACTGGTGTTATATGGTCTCAGTAGCCGGTCCCAGTCACCAGTCTAGCTGCCGCATTCTGGATTAGTTGTAGTTTCCGGGTCACCTTCAAAGTTAGCCCCACGTAGAGTGGATTGCAGTAGTCCAAGCGGGAGATAACTAGAGCATGCACCACTCTGGCGAGACAGTCCGCGGGCAGGTAGGGTCTCAGTCTGCGTACCAGATGGAGCTGGTAAACAGCTGCCCTGGACACAGAATTGACCTGTGCCTCCATAGACAGTTGTGAGTCCAAAATGACTCCCAGGCTGCGCATCTGGTCCGTCAGGGGCACAGTTGCCCCATTCAGGACCAAGATGGATTCACATCCCAATTGTGTGTCAGTACAGGTGTTTTCCTCACCCAGCAACTAGTGTGCTCCCAAGTCTTTATATGATTGCGCTGTCCATTGGCTTCCTGGATGCAGCCCCAAAATGTCCTGAGGATAAGCTCTGAGCCCTTTTGAATGCTCACTTCAGCTTGAGATGGCTTATGCCAGGCTTTCCCAAACTTGGCTCTCCAGCTGTCGTTGGACTACAACTCCCATCACCCCTAGCTGGCAGGACCAGTGGTCAGGGATGATGGGAACTGTAGTTCAAAAACAGCTGGAGACCAAAGTTTGGTAAGCGCTTGCAGGTACAATAGATTTAAGCAGCATTGCAGATTAAGGTTGTTGTTTTTTAAATCCTATGTATGTATGGAAAGTCGTAGTGGGAAGGAAGAATCCGAAATCAGGATTCTAAACATGTTTTCCCCTTAACATGTTCCTTCTTTCAACAGGCATTAATATACTTGTGAATTCCCGGGCCTTCCAGTATGCCATGTGTAAGTCTGATCCAAACTCTCTTCATTTCCCCCCATTAGCTGCCCAGAAACGGGGTGTTCTCCAAGAAAATTAAATATTCTAAACCTGCAGTAGCCTTGTGGAGCTGTGTCCTTCAGATGCCGCTAAGGGGTGTGGGAATGGGAATGCAATAAAATACAATATATAAGAAATAAGATGCAATTCAAAAATCGTACAGCGTCGAGCACAGTGCATTACCATTGCTATGACAGGGATAAAAATCATGAAGAGATCTGTCAAGGCCCTCAGAAATTTTTAAGTAGCCCATGGAGGAAAATAGTGTGGGAACTATTGCTCCAGAGCTCAACAGGGCTGGTGAGAATCAGCTCGGCAAGTAGAAGATCAGTAAAATCTTTTAAGAACTGGTGCCTGACTTTGCTTGTTCAGAAAATTTCTTAACCACCTATTGCCAAATTACTTCAGGGTGGTGTTTGCTGCACCTCTTCCCTCCCCATCTCTTATTCCTTTCGTGTCATGCTGTTTAGACTGTAGGCCTTAGAGGGTAGGGACTGCCTTGTTTTGCTATACAATGGTACCTTGGTTCTCAAACTTAATCTGTTCTAGGAGTCTGTTCCAAAACCAAAACATTCCAAAACCAAGACACACTTTCCCATAGAAAGTAATGCAAAATGGATTAATCTGTTCTAGACAAACAACCCCTAAAACAGGAATTTAACATGAATTTTACTATCTAACGAAACCATTGATCCATAAAATGAAAGCAATAATCAATGTACTGTACTATAAAATAAATAACACAGCATTATAGATGATAAAAATTAAAATTATTATTATTTTCTTACCTGCACTGATGATAGTCCATTTCCGCAGTCACACAATCAATCAATCAATCAATCAATCAGTAGCTGAAATGGGTTCCACACAGTCACAAAAACAAATTAACTGAAAAAGCCTCAAGAACAAAAACGCAAAATAAATAGCAAAAACAAAAGCGCCAAACTTAATCTGTTCCGGAAGTCCGTTTGATTTCCAAATTGTTCGAAAACCAAGACACAACTTCTGATTGGTGCAGGCACCCCAGAAACAATAGCCAAGAACTGCATCGGATGTTTGGCTTCTGAAAAACGTTCGAAAACTGGAACACTTACTTCTGGGTTTTTGGCATTTGGGAACCAAGGTATTTGAGAACCAAGGTACCACTGTACTGATCTTATGTATGCTGCTCTGGGGTCCTTTGGGGGGGGTGCTGAAGTGCTTTAAAAAAGCTTAAAAGCTAGGTTAAAAGTGCTTAAAACCAGTCCAAATTTTGGTTCCTGTGTGAAGCAATCCAAAGGTGACATCTTAGCTGGATCCATGTGTTTGGATGCTCTGTGCTGTGTCTGAAAGATGGGCTGATGGGGTTTTGTTCTGTTTTGTAGATACTCTGTTGGCAGTGAACGGCCTCTGGATCCTAGTGGAAACCTTTATGTTGCGAGGTACGGAATAACACAGCTCTCTTCTGTTTGCTGACCCTCTTCCCTATCAAGGTTTCACTGCCCCCATCTGATATGGTGTTTTCCCTCCCTCCCTCTCTGCTTTTTCAGATGGGATCTTCTCACGAGATGTCCCTTGGAGTTACATTGTCTTCCTTACAAGTAAGTCTTGGCGCTCCCTGTTATGATCTCTGAATATACTCCTTCCAAACATTTATGCTTGTTGGGATATTTGTACAGTGGTACCTCGGGTTAAGTACTTAATTCATTCCGGGGGTCTGTACTTAACCTGAAACTGTTCTTAACCTGAAGCACCACTTTAGCTAATGGGGCCTCCTGCTGCTGCCGCGCCGCCAGAGCACGATTTCTGTTCTTATCCTGAAGCAAAGTTCTTAACCCGAGGTATTATTTCTGGGTTCACGGAGTCTGTAACCTGAAGCGTATGTAACCTGAAGCATATGTAACCCGAGGTACCACTGTATTCATTTATTGAAAATATGCATATAACACTATTCATTTAAAAAACAACAACCCCAGAGTGGTTTACAACAATTATGCATAAAACCATAGAAGAAAACCCTATAAAAAAGTTAAAATCCACACTTAACCTTTTGCCCCACAAAGGCCCACTCTCTAAAGCTCCTTTCTTTTTGTCCCAGAGCTTTCCCCACAAAAACGAGCTCTTTAAAGCTGCAGCACAACAAATGATAATTGGGGTTTTTTGCAGATAGTTGTTTGCTCTGATTCAGCTTTAAAGAGCAGGTTTTCATGGGAAAAGCTCTGAAGTAAAAACAAGCTGCTAGGACACAGAGTTTTAAACTGTGAACCATGCCTGGAAACACAGAGGGAAGGTAAGTGTGGATACTGTTATGGAAAGATATATTCTTAATTGCTTGCAATAGAAAGTGTTCATCAGACGTTTAAAAGTTTGCATGGAAGGTGTCTGCTGAACCTCTATTGGCAGAGCATCACGTGATACTGGGCCAGTTATATGAAAGACTTGGTTTCTTGTTGTTGTGTGGCGAGTACACGCCTCCCCCCTTGGAAAATAAAGACACAGCATTTAAGGTTAATGGGCGAAAAAGGCCACGACTTTATTGATTGCAGGAATTGAGCGGTATTGGCTTAGGCATTGGTCCTATCAACTAACCGGCTTCAGGCTGATTGCTTGAAGACCGGCAAGGGTTAACCGCCAGTAGGGGGAGTCCTGCTGATGTACATCAACTAGGAGCTCCCCCGGGGTCACCTCTCGGGGGCGTGCCTTAGGCCCACACCTCCATAGGCTTCGGACAGGGCAACGCCCCCCCAGAATCCTTTACTGGACTACCCTTCGATTTGGGGAAAGGTGATGGCGCTTCCTTCCCCCCCCCTCATCTGCATAACAGTACCTTTACCAATGCCTAACCACCAACGCCGAGGAAAATTTGCTACGAGGTAGGCGAAAAAACCAAATGGCTGGTGCCAATTTGCCAAGTGTTTTCAATTTGCCAATTGTTTTCAAATGAGCCTTGCCAACTCGGGGAACAACCCAGCTTCTTAAGCCTGTTGTCTCAGTGGCGGTATCTGCGGTGGTCAACAGATGCAGTTTGTTTCTTGAAGCTATCCAAGCAAAGCTCCCCTGGGGAAGGGCTGCAGCTCAGTGGTAGAGCACCTGCTTTGCATGCAGAAGGTCCCATGTTCAATGCACAGCATCTCCAGGAAGGACTAGGAAAGGACTTTTGCCCGAAACTCTGGAGAGCTGCTGCCAGCATAGGCGCCGACTCCATGGGGCCTGAGGGGGCTCGAGCCCCCTCAAAAATTTTTTTTGGGGGGCTCAGCCCCCCCAATAATCTCGGGCGCCCTTCCAGCAGAGCGCCGCCGCCGTCCCCCGCCTCCTCCCCACCTGCTCCCTTGCCAGCCAGCCAGCCGCGCGCCCTAGTCGGAGAGCCCCGGCCGTCCCCCGCGAGATTAGGGAATCCCCGGGGGTGGGGGCTCCTGCCTCGCTGCTTCGCAGCACCACCGCCACTGCCAAGGCACTGCCGGGGGGAATTTCCTTCCTCCTGGCCCCCGCGAGAACAGGGGAATCCCGACTGGCCACACCTCCCAGCCAGCCGATTGGCTGGCTGGGGGGGCGTGGCTTGCCCTATTTAGGGCCGGAGCCACTTTATTTGCATATTCATGAGCTTATTTATTATTCATGAGCTTTCCCGGGCCCCCCCAATATTTTTTATAAGTCCGCGTCCCTGGCTGCCAGTCAGCGTGGACAGCACCAAATTAGATGGACCCGACTCTGCATAAGGCAGTTTCTTATGGTCAAGTGGAAGGTTTTTCCTGCTTATACAGTGCTATTGTTATTTTGTATGTGCTGGGAGCCACCCAAAGTGGCTGGGGAAGCCGGTCAGATGAGTGTGATAAAAATAAAATAAAAATAATAATTATTATTATTTATTACACTATGTTAGAAGGTCCTTGTTAGAGGCCCAGTTCTTGATGCCCTCCTCTTCTGAGGGGAGGTGGGTTGAAAGGCAGGATAACTAGGTTGTAAGAAAACACTTCTAGATCCGTCTTTGGGAGAGGATGTTAAATGACAGCTCTCTGCTTTCACCGAGTCCTAGAAGAGCTTTTGGTCTCTATTAAAGGAGCTCCAGATTCTTCCATGTTGGCTGCTGGTCCACTTTCCCCTCAGACATGGGTTGCTTCCCTGAGCCAATGAAGGTGTCTGTTGTCGAATTTAATGCCAAAGGTCACATCTGATCTTCAGCCTGCATGTGATGTCATGTTCTCTTGTGTCAACAGTCTATGGGGTTGAAGTGCTCCTGAAGATCACTGGATTGGGGCCTATTGAATACCTGTCATCTGGCTGGAACCTGTAAGTGTGTGTCGTCATTCTGTGTCATAAATTATTTTTTTAAAAAACGTTTATATTTTATTGAGATTATTCTAGTAATTTTAAAAAAGAAGAAAAAACGGGAAAAGAGAATATATAAAAATACATTTTAAAAAGCAGAGGAAAACAGCAATAACAAAATAACATAAAATGTGCATAAAATGTAAGTTTACGAAACTATACAGTTATATACATAGATAGATTTGTTTCGACAAATACGTTCCAAATATCATTACATTTGTCCAGGCATAATCTTCATCTGAAAGTGATTCGTTCATGGCCTGCAAGAGCTGTCGTGTTATCTATCCATTGATTGAAGGGGGCTATATTTTTGACCTTCCATTGTATCAGTATCAATTTTTTTGCAGACGTGAGGGGATAGAGAATCCAAATGTCAAGCCCTATATATGAGGTGCAGTCATACCTCAGAAGTCGAACAGAATACGTTCAACTTCCAAAACGTTTGGAAACAAAGGCGCGGCTTCTGATTGGCTGCAGGAAGCTCCTGCAGCCAATTGGAAGCTGCAGAACCCGCGTCGGACATTTGGGTTCCAAAGAACATTTGCAAACCAGAACACTCACTTCCGAGTTTGCAGTGCTCAGGAGCCAAAATGTTTGACTCTCAAGGCGTTTGGGATCCAAGGTACGAAGTGTATATAGTTTATGCTATATACGTCAGAGACTAAAGCAGGGATAGGGAACCTCAGGCCTGAGGGAGGGGCTGGATGTGGCCCTTTGAGTCTCTCTATTTGGCCCTCGAGAGTCTCTCCCAGGCCACACCCATCACAGTCCCTGCTTCGCACCCTCCTTGAGCATTTTTGCCAGGCTAGAATGTTTGCAAACTCCTTCCTTGCCTGAATGGGGTATAGAGTCCACAAACATTAGTTGCTGCACCCATTTTTCCTGCTGGCCCCACCCACCACCTCCCTGTTGCCCTGGGGGGGGGGCGTTGCCTATAGGGGAATGCAACTCTTCTCCCCAGGGACACAGGCTTACAAGTTCATCCCTGAAGATGTTTCTTCTTTTCCCTCTCTCTCTTTTCCAGCTTTGATTTTTCTGTCACCTTGTTTGCATTCTTGGGCCTCCTGGCACTGGCGTTAAACATGGAGCCGTTCTACTTCATTGTAGTCCTGCGGCCTCTGCAGTTACTGAGGCGAGTAATTGGTTGAATATGTACAGAGGGAATGGCAAACCCAAGAGCTGGAATGATTCGTTCCTAACTGAGGTTTGATGAAGGCCTTGGCTGACAGGATGCCGAGAGGCCAGTCTGGGGGTCAGGAGAAAGGGGAGAGCAGTTGTATTATTGTTCATTTTAATTGCGTATGGACTCTGTTGTTGCTTGCAAACGGTTTAGAAGCCATTTTGGCATGTAAGCGGTATAGAATAAAGAATGTTAATAATCATATTGCGTCCCAGTTCTGGGCACCACAATTTAAAGAGGATGTTGACAAGCTGGGACGTGTGGAGAGGAGGGCAACCACAATGATCAAGGCTCTGGAAACCAAGCCTTATGAGGAACGGTTGAAGGAGCTGGGTATGTTTAGCCTGGAAAAGAGGAGACTGAGAGGAGATAGGATAGCCATCTTCAAATATCTCAAGGGTTGTCACATGGAAGAGGGAACAAGCTTGATTTCTCCTGCTCTGGAGGGTAGGACTCGAATCGATGGCTTCAAGTTGCAAGAAAGGGGATTCCGACTAAACATCAGGAAGAACTTTCTGACAGGAAGAGCTGTTTGACAGTAGGACAGCTTCCCTTGGGAGGTTATGGACTCTCCTTCCTTGGAGGTTTTTCAGCAGAGGTTGGGTGGCCGTCTGTCAGGGATGCTTTAGCTGAGATTCCTGCATTTCAGGAGAGAGGACCCTTGGGATGGATGTCTTCTGACTCCACAATTCTATGATTCTATATTGTAACAATTTGCATTGTGTCTTCCTTTCGTTGCCCCAGATTAGTAATGCATTTAAAGATCAGAGTCAGTCGGCCACCCTGGGAAGTAAACATCCTTCTGCAACTCATTCATGTTGCTCCCTGCTCCCTTTTTGTTGTTGTTGCAGGCTGTTTAAGCTGAAGAAACGCTACCGGAATGTCTTGGATACCATGTTTGAGCTGTTCCCCAGAATGGCCAGGTAACTGAGAGCGGAAGGTGCAGCAGACAGTGATGGCCACCAACTTGGATGGCTTTAAAAGAGGACTGGACAAATTCATGGAAGAATAAGGCTATTGGTAGCCACTAGCCATGATGGCTGTGCTCAAGAGGTAGTTATGGCCACAAACTTTACATTAGCTTGAAAAATTATGCTATCATAGGCTACTAGCCATGATGGCCGTCTTTTGCCTCTGAATACCAGTTGCTCAAATCAGGTGTGAACACTGCTGTTGCACTTGGGTCTTACTTTCAGGCTTCTGATTGGAGCGTCTTGTTGATCATGGGAGAACAGGAAGTCGGACTAGATGGGCCTTTGGCTCTTCCTATGTTCTTAAAGACCACAATAAACAATGTCAACATACAAAAACTCACCACGCCCTTCTGATGGCAGGTGGCTCTAGGTCAAGAGGGCACTGAAGCCTTTCTCGTTGGCTCCCTCTTTTTCTCCTGGGATCCCTTCCATGTCTTGCACGGTCAAGCTTTAGAGTCCTCGGGCTTCTCTGCTGAAGGCATAGGAATGGAGCAGATTCCCTTAGATCACCATAAACTCCCTAACAGAAAAGCCTAGCTGCCCATGATTTTAGCTTCGCTTAACCTTGGCTTTTTTCTCCTTTAGCCTAGGTTTAACATTGCTCATCTTCTATTACTGTTTCGCCATCATTGGCATGGAGTTCTTCTCAGGAAAGCTCTTCCCAAATTGCTGCAAGTGAGTGCCCAGCATTTTCCTTCCGTCTGGAAAGTATTTACCGTGCCTTAAAGTTGGGAGCCTTTAAGATGTGTCTGAATGGAAGTGGGGAGAGATAGGTTCAAGTTCTGCATTGTTTACCTTGCAGGTTTACCTTGCTGGGCTGGGCAGAGCAGAGCGGGTGGGTGGGTGGAATGGGAAGAACTCTATACAGCATCCTAAGCACTTTTTGGAAGAGGGTGATAAAAATATAATTAGTTGTCCATTTGTTTCTGGGCCCAATTCAAGATGCTCATGTTGGCATTTAAAGCCCTAAACTTGGGCCCCAAATATCTGAAGACCGCCTCTTTCCCTGCAGAACCTGTCAGGTGTTAAGATATGCAGAGGGGGCCCCTCTTGGTAGTTCCACCTGCCCCTGCAGTTTGGGGTGATGGCAGCCTAGGAGAGGCCCTCATCTGTGGGAACCCTAAGTAGTAGAATTCCCTCCCCACTGACGTGCACTGCGGAAGGCACACTGGCCCTCGACACCTGAGATGTGTGTTTTCAGGGCCCACCCTATTCCTGTGATTGTAATCTAACTCTTTTACATTACAATTACAGGAATTACAGGCCCTGAAAACACACATTTCAGGTGTCAAAGGCCAGTAGCCACCACCACAGGTCCTTGAAGCCACTGAGTTGCGTTGACTCTTTAATAATAATAATTGCATCCCACTCATCTGACTGGGCTGATTACAGCATCACGGCCTTATGGCTTCTGTTCTGGGACGCAGAAACATTTTCCAGGCTACCCACCCCCTCTGCTGTCCTGAGTTGCATTTGTAAAAAAATAAAAAACCACCTCATCCCTTATATACTCGGCAAATGGCTGTGTTCTGCTGGAGAGGGCCTCCTGCAGGTACCACTGTATCAGGAGGTCCATTTTGTGTGATGTCATAAAAGGGCCCTTAGTGTGGTGGTATCTATCCTTTGGAGCGCCCTCCCTTTGCATATCAGTCTGGCACAGTCTCTTTCTGTCTTTAGAAGGCTTTCCTCTTTCAACAAGCCATCTAAATGGAGATTTTTTTTAATCCCAGTGGGGAAATAAAAGCTGTGAGTTCCCCCCCATAAGTGCCACCATGTTTTTTCAATTGTGCTTTATATAGGTGCTTGTTTTATATAAGTTTTTATAGTATTGTGAAATTGCTTTGAAATGTTTCATGGGAAGTGATTCATAAATAAATGTATAAGGGTATATTTTCAAGCTACTGTGGGCCATTTTGTATTATTATTATTTTCACAATAATCTTCATACCAAATAGTTGCATTGTTTCATAAGTTCACTTCCTGCCCCCATTTCCGCAGCGTTTTTACTCAGACCCTTTCTACTCCATTGTATCTTTTATCTACTACCCAAAGTTTCTCTCTTACAATCATTTTATCATTTTTCTCCCCCTGCTTTTATCTCAAACCTTCCTGCAATTTCATTTGATTGTAGTATTTTTTTTAAAAAAAAACAAATAGTCCACAAAAACATTTTGTACCTGCTTCTCCGTTCAGTGCCAGCACGGTGGCAGATTCCTATCGCTGGGTCAACCACACCGTGGGAAACAGGACAGTGATGGAAGAAGGCTACTACTATCTCAACAACTTCGACAATGTTTTGAACAGTTTTGGTAAGAGCACAAATCCTAGCGCCCTCTGCTGATGTAGCCAGGAAATGCCGCTGGGGAATTTGGTAGGGATTTCTGCAAGAGACACTTGCTGCCTGTGAGCAGGGTGAATAAAAATCAATGATTTAAAAATAAATAAATCGGATTTTTAAAAATTTAAATTGGATTTTTTTAAAATTTAAGTTACCTTTATAAAATTTAAATCAGATTTTAAAAATAAAATGCTTTTGGAGGAAAAATCTTTCTAAATACAGTTTTCTGTTTAAGTTACATTATAGTCCAAAGGCTATTCATCAGGAAATAAGGATTTGTTTTAAGTTTTTCATGTGTGCTAAAACTCAGTTTTTTCTAAAAAAACCCCACACCGTTTAACCACATCAGTTAACAAACATGGATACATATGCTCTAATGTTATTGTTTTAGTTAAATAAATTGTTTAAATTGTTATTAAGGAAATGATTATTTTTCTCCTTCCAATAAAGTACAGCAGAAAAGTTTTCCAAATATAAACAGTCAACTTATTTAACCTCACAATAATTTCATAATTATCTGTCAATGTATTTCTAATAGTAGAACTAAATCCGTAATTTTTGATATAACCGTAAAAACTACTCTGAAAATTTATTATTCCAAAAATGAAACCTTTGTCTGGTTGTAAATATTAAGATTATATGAGCAAGAATGAGTCTTTCTGTAAAAAAAATGATTTAAATCAAGTCTTACTGACTAGTGATTTAAATAAAGTCTTTCTGACTAGTGATTCCGAGCCAGTCGGAAGCCGCGCCTTGGTTTTCTAACTGTTTTGGGAGTTGAGTGGACTCCCGGAACAGATTAAATTCGAGAACCAAGGTACGGCTGTACATGATTCCTGCAAAACAGACTGGTGTGGGAGTTGTTCAGAAACATGGACCATCTCCATGATGGCTGTCCCTGTTGCTTTCCTTGATTGGATAGTGAGCCAGCCACACATGGCCAATCAGAGATAATGACCTAGTGGCTCAGTTCTCAGCTGGGCAGTGAGCCCCGATTCACCACGTGCGATTGGCTCACTTTCGCCCAAGAAGGTGTGACCCAAGAAGGTTTCGCAGGAAGTGACCCAATATTCCGGTTTCATCTAGCCCCCAAATTCAAGACTGCTGAGGGGGAACTGAGTCACAACAGTGACCAGAGAAGTGTTTGTTCTTCCCCTCTTTTTTTCTTTTTTGCAGTTACCCTGTTTGAGTTGACAGTCGTCAACGACTGGTACATCATTATGGTAAGTAGCACTCTGCCGCTCCCTGCCAGGAGCTTTCTTCTGTAACAATGTGGCTTGTGATTCCTTGGTGTCTGCGCTACTGCGCATTGGTTTATCACTGGCCATTAGATCATTGATCATTGCAGGGAATATGCCAAACAAATGGGCACACGGAAGTGAAAAGTAGAGGGAGCCAGCGCAATATGATGCTGGTAGGAACGCTATACTAATGCTGGGACCTGGGTTCAAACCCGCCACTCTCAAGCATAAAGTCCACTGGGCGAATTTGAGTTAGTGTCCCTCAGTTCACCCATTGAGGGGATGAAATGAGTGTGAGAAGAGATAGAAAGAGAAAGTTAAGTGAGTGAGACCCAGGTTCCTCCTGGCCTGTCTGTTATAGTCAGTACGACCTTGACAGAAACATAACAGAACCAGTTTAAACTAGCTGTACTCAGCTTCCCAGAAGGAATAACCAAAACAGCAGAAAGCTTTTTCCTGTTTCTCTCACATAGAAATAAACCTTCTAGAATCCTCCTGAACCAATCAGAACAGGAAAGCTCTCTGCACATCAGATCAATGCTTTCTGCTCTAAGAAATTAAAACTGGCAATATTTTCCTTTTCAGGAAGGGGTGACATCAGAGACTTCGCACTGGAGCCGCCTCTATTTCATGATTTTCTATATTGTGACCATGGTAAGCGGAGTTGCCAACTGTGCTATTTTGTGAAGCAGTCCTGTAGCTATAGCGTGTATGTGTGATGCAGGGATGGGGCCTCCAGGCGTTGTTGGACTCCAACTCCCATCAGCCCCATACAATGGTCAGGGATGATGGGAGCCGTAGTCCAGCAAATTCAGCAGGGCCACATGCTCCCTGCCCTGTTCTGTAGCCTTCACAGTCACTCCCAAGGACTAGAAATATAGTTTGCCTGCAAAGCAGTCAAACTTTCCTTCTTGATGCATGGCCATCTGACGAAGAGTTGTAGCATCATTTATGGTTGATCCTAGAGCAGGGTTTCCCAAAGTTGGGTCTCCAGCTGTTTTTGGACTACAACTCCCATTATTATTATTTAGAAGACATCATCTGGCAGCCTTGTTTAGGGAAGTTTATCATGTTTGAAGTTTTATTGTGTTTTTAGTCCTCTGTTGGGAACCACCCAGAGTGGCTGGGGAAACCCAGCCAGATTATTATTATTATTATTATTATTATTATTATTATTATTATTATCATCCCTGATTAGCAGGACCTTTGGCCAGGGATGGTGGTAATTGTAGTCCAAAAACAGCTGGAAGTTTGGGAAACCATGATCTATAGCCTGGTTTGTTCCCAGAGCTCAGAGTGGGCTACGCTGTGCTAACCCCAAATGACTGAACTCTCACCTTACCCTACTCCATAAGTCAGCTTGAGTAGAGCAGCGAAATAAATAATTTGGGTGAGCTGTTTTTGCATTGCTGCTGACCTTTTCCTTCCCCCACAGGTGGTGATGACAATAATTGTAGCCTTTATATTGGAGGCGTTCGTGTTCCGTATGAACTATAGCCGGAAGAACCAAGATTCAGGAGGTCAGTGAGGTCACCCTTGCAACTTGTTTGTTTCCTTCCTTATTTATTTATTATTATTATTATTATTATTATTATTATTATTATTATTAATATAATTATTATTTATAATAATGTTTTCAGACGGCCTCCCAGGCACCATATCAAAACGGTGCACAAAAAATAAATGAACGTGTGAGTGCAAAAAACATAAAAAACTGTAAAAACAATGCAGAATAATCATTAAAGGGGCTGGCTCATCCTAAGAGAGTGGAAACAATTGAACAGGCCTGTCATAGAATCATAGACTTGGAGAGTTGAAAGGGACTCCCAAGTTTCATCAAGTCCAACAGCCTGCATTGCAGGAGTCACAGCAGGAATCAACTTTTTAAAAGCGTCTTCGAAAGATTCTGTACTTTAAAAGCAACAGTGCCTGCTTAAAGATTGGGACTAGTGGCATTGAATGGGTGTGGAAGCACTTTTGAGGCATTTATTATTATTATTATTTTTGATCCAACAGCAGTCGGCCTTCTATGGGCCACACGGGACAGGCAGGCAGGACTAGCAGTCGCCTGATGTCATCGTACATCAGGTCCCCCAAATGTCAAGCCCAAATTCTTCAGCAATGAAGCGTCACGTTGTGGGTGCATTGTGAGTGAGCTCCCCCATTCTTCCTCTGCAGCCACGTCTTGAACTCCCCCCCCCCCGCTGGGCGCTGTGTGATGATGTCATGTGTATGGCCCAGTGGGCGTGCGTGGCTTGCCCAAAATGGCCTGGTGGGCCAAGTCAAAGAGGCTTGGGCAGGCCTGATTTTGCCTGAGGTTTCCTTGCCGCTGTCCCCTTCCGTTACCCAGACAAGCCTTGTCCTCGCCTTTCTCCTCTGCAGAAGACATGGGCATTGTTTTCGAGAGAGAAGTCTCCAAGGAAGAACTGACAGCTGTCGCAGAGCTATATGGAAGGAACGGCATTGCCTCGGCTGCCAGCCAGCTGCTCAAGGTCGTTTCCCAGATGGACAGGCACAGGGTGAGTAATGGGGACTGGAATTCCAGCATCTTCTGTTCACCACTTTCCAGGTACAGTGGTACCCCGCAAGACGAACGCCTCGGAAGACAAAAAACTCGCTAGACGGAGGAGTTTTTCGTTTTCTTAGCCGCTTCGCAAGACGCATTTCCCTATGGGCTTGCTTCGCAAAACGAAGCTTGCCCCGCAAGCTCCGGGGATAGCGGGGAAGCGCAGCGCGCCTTCCCCTCTGTCCCCGGAGATTGCGGGGCAGGCAACGGGGAGAAGCAATCTTCTCCCCACCGCCCCTTGCTTTAAACAGGTCTGGGGACAGAGGGGAAGGCGCGCGGCGCTTCCCCTCTGTCCCCGGACGGTCTCCATAGGAACGCATTGATTGATTTTCAATGCATTCCTATGGGAAACCGTGCTTCGCAAGATGAAAAACTCGCAAGAAGAAAAAACTTGCGGAACGAATTAATTTCGTCTTGCGAGGCACCACTGTATCCTCTCTCACCTCGCCACCACTTGGCTGGTCTTGTTCAGAATGATAAAACTGAAATCACTTCTGATTTAGAATGCTAGAGGGTATCCCTCTGTGGCCACTGGTCCTTGAAGAGGAAGTTAACAGAGCAATTCAGATTCCCCCACGCTTCACATGTTGCATATTTTTCCAGCACAGATTATTGGGGGTGGGGGGGGGTGGAGATGCACACACTGGAATGCCACAGTAAGCATGTACAGTGGTACCTTGGGTTACATACCCTTCAGGTTTCAGGTTACAGACTCCGCTATCCCAGAAATAGTACCTCAGATTAAGAACTTTGCTTCAGGATGAGAACAGAAATCGTGCTCTGGCGGCGCAGCAGCAGCAGGAGGCCCCATTAGCTAAAGTGGTCTTCAGGTTAAGAACAGTTTCAGGTTAAGAACGGACCTCGGGAACAAATTAAGTACTTAAACTGAGGTACCACTGTAGTAGATTTCTTAAATAATCACACCATTGTGATGTTTATGGCAACTTTGTTTGCCCTTAGTCATAGCAGTGGCTGCTTGGGGACTCACATAAGTGGAGTCCCCAAACCTTTAAATTACACAGGATTATATAGAGAGGCATTCCCTCGTCTTAGCTATACACAGGCGTAGAAATTAAGTCCCATTCTCAGAGGAAAAGCATGCCTGCATTATACAGGCTAGATGCCTGGTTCAGAAGAACAGGATGCATCCTCTATCAAAATAGCTTGAGGCTGAGTTTTTCCTCCACAAATGTTCTCGACACCATTTTACAGTTGGAGTAAGCAGATTCTTCTAACAATATAATTTCACGTACTGCTTTTTACCCTTCCAGCATTTGAAACCTCCATTGTTCTAGGTGCATTTCGCAACAGGGAATTTCATTAGCACAACAGTTTCTGAGCTCTGAGCACAGTACAGTGGTACCTTGGGTTACATACGCTTCAGGTTACATATGCTTCAGGTTACAGACTCCGCTAACCCAGAAATAATACCTTGGGTTAAGAACTTTGCTTCAGGATGAGAACAGAAATCGCACGATGGCGGCCCGGCAGCAACGGGAGGCCCCATTAGCTAAAGTGGTGCTTCAGGTTAAGAACAGTTTCAGGTTAAGAACAGACCTCCGGAACGAATTAAGTACGTAACCAGAGGCACTACTGTACTGCGCCTCAGATTTCAGATTAAAACTGCAGAGTGGAAGGAAAGGAGGACCTTTTTCTGCCTCCCCACTTCCAGCTACTCTCTGAAGACTGGGGAAGAGACCCTCTTAAGAATATTAGATGGGTGGGTGGGCAGGGGAAGGACTAGACCATGTGAAGAATGAACATAATATTTTATATAAAAGCGCACCTAGACATTCCATTGTTACACCCATAACCTAGGTTTCAGGTGCCATTTAGCTCCTAGCTTTCATATCTCAGTTTTGAACACTGAGCGCTTCACATGTAGGCTACCTATCAAGCATATACTACAATTCCCACTACAGGCACCAGGTTCCCATAAATTCAGCTTCCTGATAAACTCAGGTAGGAGTGTAATATTCACATCTTAACAGTGTGTACATGCCCCGCCCCCAAATGCACACAGAGCTGCATAGGAAAAAACCAAAACCTGTCCCCATTTGGCCTGCAGATTCCAACCATCAGTTTCATTTATGTATCTAGTATCTAGTCATCAGAAAATTCCAAAACTAACATTTAACAGAAGGGAAATAGCACAAGGTAACATCAGTGAAAGTTAACTCTGATCTTAATAAGGTACAACATGAACAAGTTTAAATGCTGAATTTTAAGCAAATCACAGCAATGTTTCCATTTAATAAAAAGGATTGTTCTTGCTTTAACTAATATTAAAATTAAATGAATTTATGCAAATCCGAATAAAATTGTGTAAGACACAAATGCCCCCAGCTTTCAAGAATTTATCTCCTCTTATCTGATAGAAAGCCTGCAGTGGTCGCAGTTGCGCATTTGTCTTGAGTTCCCTATAAAGTTAGAGATGTGCTCAGGTCTCTCTTGGTGGCGAGATCCCTGTGTGCTCCTAGCAGCACCAATATTAGCTGTAATCCAACTCTGGCACCCTTCAGAGGCAGTTGCCTTCTTCCTCCCTCTTACTGCTTCTCTTCCATCACTTCAGCAAACGACCATGCTGTTCCTGGGGCGGCGATCGAGGACCAAAAGCGATTTAAGCATGAGAATGTATGAGGAAGAGATACAGGTAAGATGTGTGAAACTGCTCGCATCCTAATTATGGTTATGCAATCGTCCCTGTAGCTTGGTGGACTCAGGGATCTTCTTGGAGGTGCTGCCAGCCCCGTAAAAACGGTTAAGTCCAGTTGCAGACAACTCTGGGGTTGTGGTGCTCATCTTGCTTTACAGGCCGAGGGAACCGGCGTTTGTCCGCAGACAGTTTTTCCGGGTCATGTGGCCAGCATGACTAAACCACTTCTGGGGAAACCAGAGCAGTGCACGGAAATGCCGTTTACCTTCCCACCGGAGCAGTACCTATTTATCTACTTGCACTTTTTGACGTGCTTTCAAACTGCTAGGTTGGTAGGAGCAGGGACTGAGCAACGGGAGCTCACCCCGTTGCAGGGATTTGAACTGCCAACCTTCTGATTGGCAAGTCCAAGAGGCTCAGTGGTTTAGACCACATTGCCAAATAAATACTGTCTAGGAGAGTGGGCAACTTTCCCTAGCCTCTAAAGCAGAGGTGGGGACTCTCTGTCTTCGCCAGATGCTGTTGGAGCTATACTTCCTTTCTATCTTCCCAGACCATTGGTTATGCTCACTGGGGCTGATGGGAGTTGGAGTCTAGCCAGCTGTTTTTTATGTGGTGTAATGCGCCCTAGGACCTTAAGGTAAAGGATGGGCAATAAATGGCTCAGAACCATAATACCTCAAGGACTGCCTCTCTCCATATGAACCTACCTGGACCCTCAGGTCATATTCTGAGACCCTCCTTCGTGTGCCCTCCTTCATGAGAGGTCCAGAAGGTGGTAACACGAGAACAGGCCTTTTCTGCAGTGGATCCACATTTGTGGAATGCTCTTCCTAGGAACAGGGACGTGGGTGGCGCTGTGGGTAAAACCTCAGTGCCTAGGACTTGCCGATCGCATGGTCGGCGGTTCGAATCCCTGCGGCGGGGTGCGCTCCCGTCGTTCGGTCCCAGCGCCTGCCAACCTAGCAGTTCGAAAGCACCCCCGGGTGCAAGTAGATAAATAGGGACCGCTTAGCAGCGGGAAGGTAAACGGCGTTCCGTGTGCTGCTCTGGTGCCGGTTCGCCGGAGCAGCTTCGTCACGCTGGCCACGTGACTCGGAAGTGTCTCCGGACAGCGCTGGCTCCCGGCCTCTTGAGTGAGATGGGCGCACAACCCCAGAGTCTGTCAAGACTGGCCCGTACGGGCAGGGGTACCTTTACCTTTACCTTTTACTTCCTAGGAAAGTTCAACTGGCGCCTTCATTATACACTTTGAGGCGCCAGGAGAAGACATTCCTCTTTAACCAGGCCTTTGGCTGATTGACATACCGTATAGATGCCCCCTATTTTGGGGGACTCAGAATTAAGAAAATGGGGGAAGATTGCCCCCGTGTATAAGCCTCCCCCCTTTTAACATTTTTAGTAAAAAAACAACTAGTCTTATACCAGGGGTGTCAAATTCAAATTCATCGGGGGCCGCATCAGCAGTTTGGTCACCCTCAAAGGGCCAGTTCGAGTTCGAGTGTCTTCAAAGCCCATGACACCTTTAACAGCTGGATTAAGTAATGCAGAGCTTCTGGCTCATGGAACACTACACCTTGATTTCATTTGAATACATATATGAATATAAAAATTGTTTCCTGTTTGGCTTGGTGTTTAAGTTACACAAGATGTGCAGGTTTTAATTTTTCTCATTCCCCAAATTTTAATCGAGCATTTGTTTGGATTTTTTCCCCTTTGCTACCTACCCTAAACCTTTGAGGAGGGCAGGAACTGATGGCCGGACCCTGTAATAACATTGAGGAAAAAATTGCATGAAATAAACCAATTCCTTATCAGCTTTTCCCCCATATATAAACCAATATAAACCAATTCCTTATCAGCTTTTTTCCCATATATAAATTTTTGCAACACGCACCCTGCGGAAGCCGCGCCTGACGTTATTTACGTATCGAATTTGCTTTTGAATCGCGAATCCCCAGAGGCAGAGGATGCTGTTCATTGGGCAGCGCGGAAACGCGCCTAAAGAAATAAATAAAGAAAAGAAAAGCAAAAGCACGCTGCCCCGAGTATTCACAGGGCGCGCTCCTGAAACACAGGCGCGCTCTCAGTCTCCCTCTCTCCAACGCGAAGCCGGCTCTGCCCTTCTCCGCGTTCCACCTCGCGCAGGCGCGCTGCGCTCCCGCCAGGACTTATTTCACCCCGGCGAGCCCGAAAGGAAGTTGAGAGCAGCGGCGGCAGCCTCCCATATCCAACCCTGCCCTCGCCGTGTCAAATAAGTCTCGGCTAGGTAGCTGGAGGAGGGGGAAGTCTGCGCCTGCGCAGAAGGGACCCGAGGCTCCCTGCGCGTGCGCTGCAGCCCAAGCTTCCCTCACAGATATATATAGACCAGGCTACACGGGCCACATGACAAGGTCTCGCGGGCCGGATTCGGCCCGCGGGCCTTGTGTCTGACACCCGTGTCTTATACAGTAGCACCTCAGCTTACGTTACCCTTGGGTAATGTAAACGTCGGGTTGCAAAAGTGGCAAACCTGGAAGTGTTTTGCCACATGCACATGCGCAGAAGCGCTCTACTACGCCATGTGCAGAAGCAGTCCCTCCGGTTGCGGAAATCTCGGGATCCGACTGGAGCTCCGAAACGGATCCCGTCTGCAACCAGAGGTACCACTCTGCATGGAAAAGTACGGTACCTTTTAAATGTGTTGTGGAGGGGAGTGGGAATTATTAGTTTGTTTTTGTTCTTATTTTTAGTATGTGTTCTGTGTTTTTTTATAATGTCGTTTTCTGTTCTGATGTGCCTTGAGATGATGGTGATTAATAATAAGAGTAACAACAACAACAACAACAACAACAACGCTATTATTATTACAAGCAAAATTTTGGGTTCGTGCACAATTCATTGCAGACCTTCACGATTTGAGGGCAGGCTGTGGGTGTGGGAAATGAAATGATCCCAGTATTGTTGCCTCTTCCCACAGGAGTGGTACGAAGAGCACTCTAGGAAAGAAGAAAGGCAGTTTCCCTGGCAGGATGACCAGTCGCTCCATCAGCCCTCGCCGTTTCCAGGCCTCCGCCAGCGCTCTCAGACCATTATCTAAGCCCAGCTAACTTAAGCTGCTGATTTGTCTGCTGTGCATTAACCACCCCGTTCACTTACTTTGCAAAGTACGTCTCAGATTAATGCATAGCGTAGCCTGGCAGAAGAAGGTCTCCTGGCGCTCTTGTGTAAGAGAGGTTTGGCTCTCCTCTTTTGCAAAAGCTCATCCCTGTACTAGGGCCATTAAGGCATAACCAGAGTACTGCAGGATGGCTGGGCATTATGCAAGGGATGGGGGCTGGTTAACAGGGTAGCCACAGTGAATGCTTCTGGGATTTGTCTAGTGTAAAGCAGCCAGGGGTTAATTTGGCTATCTTTCCCCAGTACAGCTGGATAAAATAGTCAGCTGAAGTTATACAATCAGGCTGCTTTTCCCCAGGCATTCCAGCCTCCCAGAAGTGGGTGGCTGGCATCAGCAGAAAAAAACAAAATACCACCATTTACTGCCACTGTTTGCCTGTCTCTAATTGTAACTAGGCTGCCCAGTTTTCAGCAGGACTGCCCTTTTGAGGTTCAGTTCTGTCCTCATCATCTCCATAATGGTTCAATAAGCTGCTGTGGCTCTACAGCATTTTCCCTTCTCCAACAAGGTTTGTTCCCTGTTGGGCACAAGTCCTCTACTCTCAAACTGGCTGTAACCTGGAAACTGGTGAATGAAGGAATCCTACCACTGCAACTAGCAGAGGGCTGCTCGTCGTGGTGGAAGCAGCTCAGCCTGTGGGCATGTGTTAAAAGCAATAACTTTGAAAGAAGGAAAACTGACCAAGGTGTAATCCTGCAGTCACTGCACAGCAGGGTCCAGGTTGATCCGCATCACTTGCTGCAATTTATTTTTTATTTTTTAAAAATTACCAGCTCTTTATTAGCCGTTGGCTCTGTCTGACAGCCCTCCACCACACAAGCTAGAGGCAAACAGCGATGCAGCAGAGTTCTCCTTTGGTTTGCAATATGAACATTTGACAACATGTAATGCTTGCCTCAAAAATGACGGTACTGCAGGCTTCCCAAATTCTTCTCCGGCTTAGAATGTTACTCTGAGCTGGAGAAGAATTCCATGCCTCCCACTTACCTACCTAAACTCTGTTGCTTATAAGCAGAGAGGAAAGGTCTTTCTCCCCGTGAACTGTTAATATTCCCAGCAGCACTGGGAAATGGAGCTTTCCTTCTCCTCTTGACGGTATGCCATAGCAGCACATAGTGAAGGCAAAGGGGAAGAGACAGAATTTCCTGGTGCAAGATAAACAAGCGTGACGGTGCTTTTATTTGTCCAATTTTAACTTTAGTAGGCTCATAATAAGCCAAGCTGTTTCCCAGGTGGTGTTTTTTTTAAAGAATAAGGGCTTATTCTGAGCAAATCTGTGTTACCACAAGTAAGACAGCGTAGTGTGTGTTTGCAGAATCGCAGCTGACCTGATCTGTCCTGAAGACAGACAAGGAGCTTTCCCTATGGTGGTCAGGGAAGATGTTCCCTTGAGACAGATTCTGTCGGCAGAAGCAACCATTGGTCTTGCAGCACCTGCCTCTAGGCAGATTCTAAAACCCCAGATAGTGGCCTGCTCAGGGAAGCCATGCCTGTTTAACTCAGTTCCAGCCTTCCTTAAGGAGAGATCGCTTATGTACAGCAGTACCAAGTGCTGCCTAAGATGAGGGTGAGAGTTCTGTGGAAGTTTGGGGTTCACACACTGCAGAAAACATCAACCAGCAGTGATTGCTGCTTCTGCCTCTTTTGGGGGTGCATATAACTTATTTGCTGTGATGGAAGGCAAATTCCAACCTCGTGATGGTGAAATGGAAGTTTTGTGCCCCTTCGTGTACCAGACCACTAACTAGCCCAAGGCTAGCCAGTGTGTTGGCCTCCAGATGTTGGTGAGCTCCATCATCCCTGCATGGCCAGAGATGATGGGAAATGGAGCCCATCCACATATGGAGGGCGCCGTGTTGGCTACCCCTTGAACTAGACTAAGGATCAAACCTGTGTGCAGCATTTATCTGGGCCAACAGCCGCCTCCACTGGTTATAAACACTTGGGGCCGCTATTGTTAAAAAGTGTTTTTCTCCTAATAGCTGAGTACAGTTTCTGCTGCTCTACAAAGCTGGAGTCTGAGGCTTTGAGGGAAACACAATTGCTCTCCGTAGAATATTGCTGTTGTTTCAGAACAGAGACATGCTTCCTGAGCTGTACTGCTAACTAACTGACCTGTCACTCAACTTGCACTGTATATGCCCCCCTCCCCAACTCCTTACCAGAATAAGCTAGTGATAATTCCAGAAACTGCTTCCTGCAGGGTGGAAGGAAAAACAAACCTCAGCGAGTCTACCTTCTAACTTGTCTTTTCTCCTTGGCTTCCTCCAACACTTAACTCCAAAGACAATCACTTGCAGGAAAGTAACACGGTGGGAGGTTTTGTTCGCTGCGAGTTTGTATGGCAACTGTAATGATGACGTCTGAAACAGTGTTATAGAGATATTTACAGGCACATTTAATAAACCTTTTAAAGCGTTCCTTTCTTCCTTGTTTTCTGCATTTATTTGCAAAGGGCGTTGAGGTAGGTGAAACAGCTACTGAACTGCACAGACCACTTCCTGTGGCAAGAGTGCTTCTTTTCAAAGAAGTGTGCAAGCCAAAGGTAGAGCTTTCATGTTTTCACAACTGCACATGCCGTCTACTCACAGAAAAAATAGAGACCCAAGTTTTAAGAAGCCTTTGTCTCCCTTCACCTTCCATCTGCTTACATGTCTGCTTACATTTAAAGCTCTTTCTTATGGAACCTGTTCCCCCCACCCTTCCCCCTTTTCCTAAATTGGAGGTGGTTTTTGGTCATTGCCTCTACTTAGTTTGTAAGCCAAAAGCAAGGGCTGTTCATTTCTTCTTTTGTACAGTAGCACTACTAAGCAAACTTAGGCATTTTATGGAGCGTAACGCTTCCTCTACAGTGCTCATGCAGACCCTCCAAGTGTCCCTGTTTTCCAGGGACAGTCCCGGATTTACAGAAGCCGTCCTGGTTTCTGATTCGATTCCAGAATGTCCCATTTCCCCCTTAGGAAGTTCCTATTTTCATCAGAGAAATGTTGGAGGGTATGGAGTTATGCTACCCCCGAGCCAAGGAGATAAGTCATCTGAAGGCAGCCCTGTATAGTTTTATTACATTTTATATATGTTGGAAGCCACCCAGAGTGTCTGGAACTACTCAGAAGGACAGGGTTTAAATAAAAAAATTATTATGGAATAGGACATCCTTATTTTCATCAGAGAAATTCTGGACGGTATGCTGATGCGCAACACACTATTGATGGTTTGCATACTCCTTGCACATAAATCCTCTTTCAGCGTCGGAACTGTGGTAAAAGTGAGGTGCGTGGCCTGGACAAACACCTGACGACCGGAGAGAGGTTTGATTTGGCCTCTAGCATTGAAGTTCCCCAGCCCCAGTACAGCACTGAAGACAAGAAGAAGTAATTGCATTTTGCCTTTATTAACATACCAGATGTTATGCTGTGCTGAGCAGAGAAAAGGGTTTAACAGGAAGGGAGAGTACTGCATGTATTGGCACCTGATGCAAATGCCTGAAATGCAGTTAAGTCTTAAGGTTGAAGGAGATTCCTTAGAATAGCAAGCAACGTTCAAGAAAGCACTGGCTACTTCCCCTCAAAAAACCTGGCTGTGTATACTTTTAATGATGCACACAACACATATCCATTTGGGTTCATGGTCCAGAAGTTAATTGCAGCAACTCTTGGCTTCGTATAACAACCCTAATCTCTAGCTCCCAGCACCAACAATTCATATAACAAAGCAATTTTTGCAACCCACTCCCCAAGGAGATTCCTCAAGCACAGCTTTCTCGCAGCTGTAAGGGAAAGAACAAAAAGAGCTGGCCAAAATCTGCTTAGTTGCCTCCAGTAGGTTTTTAAAAACAAACAAATAGAATTGGCCACTCAAACTAGCCCTGTAACAGCTTATACCCATTATTATTCATAGCGATGGCTCAGGGCGAGTTCTCTCTTCAGTGTTATCGTTCTGAGGTAGATTTGTTAAAAAGAGACAACACTTGTCCGAAGCTACACTTTGCTACATAAGACGAGAGAGGTTTTAAAAGTATGATCTCCCAAGCATCCATTACAATTAGTGGTGAGGACATGTGACCTGAAACAGAAGTTTGCTGTTGCTTAGCTTCCAACTAAAATGTGTCCTCTATTTGCTATTTTGGGATACAGCAGAATGCAGTGGGGATGAAACATTGGGTGGCAGAAAGCAGAACCACTGAAGTTAATGAACATACCTAACTTAGGTTAATTTCATTGGGCCTACTCTGAGCAGGAACTTCATTGAATACAAACCTCCCACCAAAAACAATAAATTGCGTGGAGAGCAGCAATTGGGATTCCTTAGGGATTTCTACTACCATTATTTCGGGATTCTCCCAGCTGACAGATTTAAGAGCCTTTGTATACACTGACATAAAAGCAGCAAACCCTTCCAGCTTTCTGTCCTTCGACTACAGGCTGCCATTTGCACCAGCTGGTACCCTGGAGCAGCTATCAGGGTTCCATCAGCATCTGTCAGCAGTAATGTCTGCCCTGAGAAACCAGATGGGTAGGCAGCCATTTTAATTTCCCATGGTGCTACAGTGTGGACATAGTAGGGACCCTATCGTAGAGCACTTTGCCAACCCTGTAGTGACTTTGCTTCTGGGTAACGGTTATATGTGATAATTTTGCATAGGGTTTGCACAGATACAGAAGGATTCCTTGGCAAAACTCCTCAGAACGGAGAATGTTTCTACTTGAAGGTGCACAGAGCTTAAGAGCACAGAACAACTGAGGTACAAAACGGTTGCTATAAAACAAATTGGCAATGAAAATCACAGGGGGAGGAAATATTATAAAAATACAGATGTCTTTGTTACAATAAAATCATCACCATGCAGATAAACACTCCAGTAATAAATCCTGTATGGTATACGTTTTGAATATGCCAAATACTTTCCGGCACAAATGTCTTCCATCAATGGTGTCATGTAAAACAAAGAAAATGATAAACAGCTAAAAACATTTTAAAAACAAACAAAAAAAACACCTACCAATCCAGGATAAATAAACAAGCAAACCAAACCCAACCTTGGTTTTGGCTCTTGCATACAAAACTTTATAGAGGTCAAAAGACTTCAAAACTTCCTTTGAAAACATCAATCTTGAAAAAAACTGTCAATTTTCAATAAGTCCTAATTATGCTAATGCAAACTTCAGCCTTACCAAATGTCTGCATTAACTTGCAAAGTCTTGAGAAGGTTAAATTTGAATCAAAGCCTACTGGTATCAGCTTGTCATTATTTATCCAAGACGCGCTGACATTTTTAAAGAGAGCTAAATCACATTTATTTATTCATTTCCTTCCCAACCTTCACCCTAAGGTCCCTGGGAGGGTTACAATATTAAAGCACAATTAAAAACACATTTAAACAACTTGCAATCATAAAAATAAGGTGGACCCTAAAAGTAATTTAGTTTCCCTGATGCTATCTTAGACCTTTGCAGACCTTTTGTTCTGAAATGTATTTGGCACATGTTGAAGAAGACTTTATAAGATTTGCCCTACTAAGTTCATTATTGGATGTTTCCTAAATATGATAAATTTTACTGTAATAAAAATTTATGTATTTAATCTATTCTCCCCCTTAACTCTCAGAATCCTTTTAAAAAAACACCTAAATACATTTTAAAACATCTTTAAAATTGCTGACGTTTCATCAAGTGATACAATTTGTAGTTTGCAGGTACACCAATGTAAGGAATAAATGGAGTGTGATACCACTAAGAGCTTCTTCCCAATATATGAGTTTGTCTATTGTAGATGTGAGGAACCTTTAGCTCTTCAGACACACCTGAACTATAGCTCCCATCAGCCCTGGCAAGCATGGTCATTGGGCTAGGGGCTGATGGGAGTTGTAGTTCAGCGATAGCCGGAGGACCAGAGGTCGTCCCCCACCCCACCACCTGAGTCTATTGCTTCTGGTTAGTAACATTTAAACCTAATAGCGATACTAGTGAGATGACTTCCTAGAGCAGGGATGGAGGAAACCAGTGGCCTTCCAGAGGCTGTTGGGACTTCAACTCCCATCAGGCCCTCACAGCACAGCCAGCAGAGAGGGATGATGGGAGTTGAGGTCCAGAAACACCTGGAGGACCCACAGGTTCCTTCATCCCCATCACAGAGAAACTCTTGGAAATGGATACAGTCATACCTTAGTTCTCAAATGGCTTTGTTGTCGAACAAATTGGCTCTGGAACACCTAAAACCTGGAAGTGGTCCAGTTTTCGAACGTTTTTTGGAAGCTGAACATCTGACGTGGCTTCGACTTGAGTGCCGGAAGCTCCTGCAGCCAATTGGAAGCCGCACCTTGGTTTTCGAACAGTTTCGGGAGTCAAACAGACTTCTGGAATGGATTAAGTTCAAGAACCAAGGTATGACTGTATTCCCAAACCACAGACCATAAATACTAATTGAATGCCAAGGAACATACTTATGAGTAAAATATCATAAGAGGAGCCTGCTGGATGAGACCAGTGGCATATCTAGTATAGCATCAAGGGCCACCCAGATGTCCCAGTGGGACATTGGCAGCCAGGACCTGAGCATGAAAGCACTTTCTGTCCTGTGGTTTCCTAGCAACTGGTATTCAGAAGCACCCTAAGTTAGCTGGATGAAGTTTGCTATCCAGTTTTCCTTTTGCCTTTGAGTTCTTGTGTTGCACAGCAGGACTTAAAGCATTGCCCATGCCCAGTTCCCCACTTCCAAAGAACCTACTAGCTGTAACCATTGAGACATTCTCTGTGGTTGTCCCATTGTGTCACTCTGAATGAGGCAAGTTAAAACAAGCTAGTGGGGAAAGTTCTAGGTTTCCAAACACTAATGAATGAAACATTCTGAGATCGGATACCAGCAGACAGAATTGCCCAATGGAGAGGAACCGGCAGGGCCCTTTTTTTGAGGAACAGTGGGACAGGGGAAAGCTTTTTGGGACATCTTTGTCCAGACCCAATGTCTGTGTGGATTAACCAAGCTGGCCACTGTACAAGGCTCCCAGACTTCCTGTTGCTCAACACGGGTGCTGAAAAGCTTGTGTGATCCTGCGGCGCCTTGGTCAAGCGCTGATCCCAGGAATAAAACTGCCTCGTCATGCCTCTGCCTCCCAGGATGAAACTGACTGGAAATTAGCAGCGAGTCAGCAAATCACATGCAGCAAGATGCACTTGTGCAAACTCAGCTTACAATTTTGCCGGCCCAGAATGAAACAAAATAAAACGGGTTTGCTGCAAAAATGTGTGTGTGGGAGGGGAGTGACAATAACACAGCAGGCCACAACACACACAAGTGCCTCAGGTTGTGCAAACATGCTCATGATGCCACAACTTCTGCAGTTGTACCCTGGGCTATAGCCTGAGTTCTCAAAGGGCATCATTTCTACCTCCCCAAAAAATCCTCCATAGAACAAAGCAGTTAATAGTGCAATCCGATCCATGTCTATGTAGAAGTAAGTCTTAATTCAATGGGGCTTGTTCCTAGGTAAAATGAGGTTAGGATTGCAGCCTTAATGATTCAGCCAGCATTCCTCCTCGCTTTTTGAATGGAAATGATCAAAGGCTGGGATGTTGCAGACGCCCAGATATTCTTAAAGGAATGTCTCTGAGCACGTCAAAAGATATAAGCAGCTGCATCCAACACCAGCTCTACTGAAAGCAGCCCCATTGAAATGAATGGAGCTAAGTAAGTTCTGTTTGATGACTTCAACGGGTCTACTTCTGTGCAGAAGCAGCCTTGGATATGAAAGCCAAGGAGTTTCCTGGCACAATGGTGAAGGGGGTGGGGTGGGGAGGCCAAGAATAAATACGTTTTCTGAAAGGCAGAAAAAGGCACCCAACGTTCCTAGTGAGAGTTGTGGCAGAAACCAGAAACGACACACAAGGTTGGAGGCCAGCAACTTATGAGCATGGAAAGTGGAATAGCTGTGGCGCCCTTGCATTTAGACCACATCTGGGGGGTTTGGGTGGGCATGTGAAATACTGACCAAACCCATTTGCCAGACAACAAACACATTGACACCATTCATTTAAAGCACTATGATACCACTTTAAATGGTTATGGAGCCCCCCCCCCAAGAATTGTATTAAGAGTACTGAAAGTTGTGGGGAGGCCCTTATTCCACTCCCAGAGCTACAATTCCCAAGCTTCCCTGGGAAGAGGAATTGACTGTTAAACCACTCTCAGAATTGTTGCTCTGGGAGGGGAATAGGGGGTTCTCCTAAGAACTTTCAGCACTATTAACAAACTACAGCTCCCAGAATTCTTGGGGAAGCCATGACTGCTTAGAAGTGCCACCATAGTGCTTTTAGATGTGTGGTGTGTGAATTCGGGTAACGAATGGGAGCATTTCTGCTGGACCCACTACAACGTTGCAGCCTGGGATTGCTCCTGTTCCAGCCTCTAGTCCATTCCCATGTTTTCCATCCCACTTCCAAAAAACTCGCAGCACTCAGTGACCACCAATGACATTCAGCTGGGCTGCTTGCAGTCATGGGGACCCCTTCGCAACCAGCAAGGAGGTCTGGGTAACCACTGTTATCTCTTCAATCGGGTTGGTCCATGACAGATCACCACATTAAAGGGGAAAAAATACATTAACTACTAAATCTCAGTTTTGCTTAAAATTGCTGTACCCTTTCACTCCAACTGTACAACATCTGTGCTAACGACTCTCAAACTTTGGAACTGTTGAAATATATACAACAAAAAATTAATCCATTTGAGTTGGGCGACTCAAATTGGGTCTTTAAACCTGAAAATGTTAAGCAATGTGGATTAAAGTCATTTCAGGGGCCCCTCAGGGATTAGGGGCCCTGGACTTTAAGCTTCACTCACTTCATAGTACAGTCGTACCTTGGAAGTCGAACAGAATCTGTTCCAGAACTCTGTTCGACTTCCAAAACATTCAAAAACCAAAGTATGGCTTCTGATTGGCTGCAGGAACCTCCTGCAGCCAATTGGAAGCTGTGGAAGCCCTGCTGGACGTTCGGCTTCCAAACATAGTTCGCAAACCGGAACACTCACTTCCAGGTTTGCGGCGTTGAAGATCCAAAACGTTCAAGAACTAAGCTGTTCAAAAACCAAGGTACGACTGTAGATCCGTCCCTGGCACTCACTGCTGGATACTGGAAATAAAAGGGTGTTGTGTGCTTTTTTTTTTTTTAATGCAATACCTCTTAGTTGTTAATTTGCAGTTTCCAACCGAAACTTGAGAAAACCAAGAGCCACAAGCAGTACATACTGGGAGCAGTATGCCTTACCATCTTTCAACAGACAGGACCTAAAAACCACTCTTTGCAAAACCCATCCCCAAAAAACCTGACAATGTTCTTCTTTTTTAAAAAAAGCTTTTGTTTAAAACCTAAATAATGCCTTTCGTTATAAGAAACGTTAATACTGATTGGGGGAACCGATGGCCTGTCCCCAAGGCCAAATGATCCCTGACTTATAATATAGGTCTTTAAAAGCAGGTGGCACACTCTTGCCTTGAAAGACCGCAGCAACCTAACAACAGCTTGCCCGGGGCTCTGCGTAAGTTTCCAAGGTTTGAGTTGTGGTCTTGCTTCCCTCCAAGCAGCGGGTAACAGTCAAACCTGACAACCAGGTCCCACAGGGCACTCGCCGGGGGTGTGTGCTTGTTGCAAGGCACTGTCTTCAAGTAGAGCAGCTCGGTCGCAAGAGGGGGACATTTGCAACCCCATCACCATTCCACGATAACGTCAGAAGGAGGTCCACGATGAGAGATGTCTTCTTCAGATGGAGGCCAGCCGGATCACCCTGAACTCCGTCAGCAGTGCAACGGTCAAGAAGACCAGGTAGTAGACGATGAGGCAGCAGCCGTAGCCATGCCCCAGATGGAAGCATTGAGCGGGCACAGAGAGGAAGGAGAAGATCAGGCTGAGGCCCAGCGCGCCGGCCAGGATCCACACCAGAAGGCCCTCGGATTCCAGCTGCAAAGGGGAGACCGGAAAAGGGGAGTGAGCACACCAGATGCCATAGAGGACAGGACTAGACCTAACACAGGACAGCTAAGTGGGCAAGGGCTGTGGCTCAGTGGTAGAACATCTGCCTTGCATGCAGAAGGTCCCAGGTTCAAAGCCCGGCATCTCCAGGTTGAGCTGGGAAAGACTTCCTTGTTTCTGGAGAGATGCTGCCAGCCAGTGTAGACATTACTGGAATAGATGGGCCGACTCAGGGTAAAGCAGCTACCCAAGTTGTACCCTCCAGATGTTGTTGGGCTACATCTCTCATCATCCCTGACTGTTGGACATGAACATGGCCAGCCTGGCTTCAGTTGTCTATGCTCTGGTGAAGACTACTGCAATGCACTGTACTTAGGGCTGCCTTTGAACCATCAATCGTCCCTGACCATTGACCATTGACCATGCTGGCTGTGGGCTGATGGGAGTTGGGAGTCTGACAGCATTTGGAGGAATGCAGGTCTGTCCCACCGCCCCCGAGTGGAAGGAGAAATGGCAATGAGAGCGTCTGTACCCTCACGACTAGCTTGCTGCTGGTCATCTGAAGGAGGCAGCCGAGTCCAACGCCAACGAGCATATCTGCCGGCAAAGTTCAGGAAGAAGAAGAGGAGTTTGGATTTGATATCCCGCTTTATCACTACCCGAAGGAGTCTCAAAGCGGCTAACATTCTCCTTTCCCTTCCTCCCACACAACAAACACTCTGTGAGGTTAGTAAGGCTGAGAGACTTCAGAGAAGTGTGACTGGCCCAAGGTCACCCAGCAGCTGCATGTGGAGGAGCAGGGAAGCGAACCTGGTTCACCAGATTACAAGTCCACTGCTCTTAACCACTACACCACACTGGCTCTCTTAGGAGACAATCTGGCCAGGAAAAGCAATCAATCAGTGACCGGCTGTCCTCCCTTCTCTCCCCAGTCCCACAGAGGCAATGGACCTAGCCAGCAAACCCAGGCTGAGAGCAAATTCACGCAAGGAGTGGATGTGAAATTGAGCCAGCTGGGCTCCTCGCTGCTGGAAGCCCCAGGAAGCAAAATCCACTGACTTTCTCTGACGAAGGCACACGGACCTAGGATCTACGTGCAACAGTTTGTCCAGGGCAGCTTCAATGGAGCCTCTCCATCCAGAGTCAGCATACCTCTTGAGCACATTTATTCTCCTGCAAACAGGAGACCGGAGGCTACTGCCTCCACTGTTCTGCTCATGAGCTTCCCAGAGGGATATGGCTAGTCAACAAGGCACCTGACTAAATGGGTCCGATGCAGCAAGACGCTTTGCGTGATAAGAGCGAGAAGCCTATAGAGCCAAGGATAAACCCTTTTTGGGCATTCAGCCTGCGTACACAAGGGCAAAAGGAGGAAACATGCAGAGTAAGTGTTGGGAACCTTTGGCCCACCAGATGTCGTTGGACTACAACTCCCATCATCTCTGTCCGTGGGGGCCAATGGGAGTTGTAGTCCAGCAACATTGGGAGGGCAAATGCTTCCCCATACCTGGTGCAGAGGGCCAGTCCCACCCCCAACTTCTCAGCATGTGGCAAGTGTACCTGCTCCACCCAACTTTCCTGTGTTAAGTGGGGAGGTCTTGAGGGTTAGGGTTCTAGGTGCATTCAAACCTTAATGCTAAGTTTGCAGAAGGTGTGTGAGCACTCATGTTTTTTAAATTATTACCACTACTGCTACGCATCCCAGGTCAGTCTTGAGGACCAACACAGGACGCCTATGAAGGCCTTCCAGGGAGTGCAAACCAAATCTGGCAAGGCAGACTGCAACCCGTCAGCAGATCACCCCCAAGGTGTCACTTTGAATCTCTCAGTGCATAAAGTATTGATCTGATGTGTAGAGATCTTCCCTAATTCTACTTAATTCAAGAGGGTTCTGAAAGCTTCCCTGTGTGAAAGAAGCAAGCAGAAGGTTCATGATGTTTGGGTTATTCCTTCAGAGAAGCTGAGTACAGCTGGTTTAAACTCGTTCTGCTATCTCTTCTGTGTTAAGGTCATGCTGACTATTAAAGTCTCTCTCTATCTCTCTTTCCTTCTATCTCTCTTTCCTTCTGGTGTGGTGTTCTGTACATAGTATGCTTAGTGTTAAGGTTTAGACTTATTATAAGCTATTGTAAGTTTAAGTTAAGTCTGCTGCAACTGGATTTCTTATGGACAGTGGCAATCCGGAATGTATTGGATTTGTGACCATTATGCTCATTTGCCTTCAGTAAAGCTCTGCTGGATGAAATACTAATTGCCTCTAGTCTATTTTTTGGGAATCCCGCAATGTGTTTAAGTTTTTACTCTGCTAACTATACATTTGGAATCTACTCTGGATCAATACTGAGTAGAGTTTCAATGACACAAGGATACTGAAGATGATGCCACCAAAACAGGCAGAAAAGGCCATGCGGGGGTATCCCTGCCGAGCCATCGTGAGGTCTGAGAAGGTGTCTGAAAGACAAGTAAGGGGGAAAGGGGGGGGACACACATCAATATATATTAACTTTAGCTCCCAAAGATTGAATTTGTTGATGCAGGTTCATTTTGTGGGGAGGAAACAGTGTCAGGGTGGGTTCCCAAACTTGGGTCTTCAGCTAATTTTGGACTACAATTCCTATCGTCCCTGAACACTGGTCCTGCTAGCTAGGGATGAGTGCCTCATAGGCTTAGGAAACGGTTTTCAACCAGGCAAGTTTTTGCCATCTGAGCCCAGTATTGTCTACACTGACTGGCAGCAGCTCTAACGCAGCCTCGGTCAGAGGAGACCCTTTTCCTGTCGCCCCCACTGTCTAACCCTTTTAAGCTGGAGAGGCCGGGGGTTGAACCCGGGACCTTCTGCATGCAAAGCAGATGCCCTGCCACTGCACTACGGTGTTTTCCCCATCAGAAAGCTGTGGTCTGTTTGTGGGGCTTCCCAAAGGCATCCGATTGGCCAACTGGGTGAAAAGGATGCTGGGACTGCATAGGCTGCTTGACTGATCGGTCATGCAGCCCATCATAACCAAAGCAGAGCTATTCTGAAGTGGTGATGGGTCGCTAACACAGAAGGCTTCTTTTTTAAAATGAAATTGTGGTGCAGGGATTAGACAAAATCACAGAGGAAACAGGCTGTCAGGTATGTTTATATTTATATCCAACCTTTCCTCCAAGGAGCTCAAGGCATAATAATAATAATAATAATAATAATAATAATAATAATAATAATAGCTATTTCACAATTTAGTTCACGAAATGTATATACCACTTGAATTGAAAAACAAACGAACAAATCCCAAAGCTGTTTTTTCAAAAAGAAATTACTATTTATTTATTTTATTTTATTATTATTATTATTATTATTATTATTATTATTATTATTATTATTACCACCCACTCTTCAGCCCAAGACCTAGTTAAAACAATTTAAGCACTAGGTTAAAACAGTTCAAAACAATTGACAATCACAAAAACAAGGCTGTTTTTAAGAATATACAACTCAAAATTTCAAAAGCCATGGTAAAGAGGTATGTGCTTCTCCCCCTCTCCATTTTAGCCTAACACCCACCCTGCAAGGTAGGTTTGTGACTGGCCTAAGGGAAACCCAGTTGCTGGGTATAAAAGCAGCAGGAGGGGGCTATTGTTCCTTTTTCCTGCTCTAGGGGCCTCCACTGCTTGTAAGTGACTGCGGGTCTCCTCGGGGGTGGGGCAGGATATAAATGCAATACATACATAAATAAATGCCCAAGGCCTCTTTCCCTCACCTCCAATGCTGTTCCCCCAGGCCAGCAGCGTCAGCCCCAAGACAGTGTTGCTCAGTCGGAAGATCACCCCCAAAGTCCTCAAGACGTTCACCACCTCTGTGGCAGCAGCGTTGATCCACAAGGCGCTGACCAGGAAGCCCAGGAAGGCAAATAACTGTTGTGGTAACATGAGAAAAAGATCCGAGGGGGGGGGGCAGGGAAGTAGAGAACTGTCAACAAGGGCCTCCACAAAGCCACCTTTCCTTTGTTGTCAGGGGGCAACAAACATCTCCTTGCCCCTTGGTTGTGTCTGGCTGTTAAATGGGCTGCTGCCGTATATGTGACAGTAAACCTGCATCACCTGTTTTATTCTATTTGTACACCCACATAATACGTGTTACAGTAAGCCCACAATTTACGTGGGGTTTGCATTCCAGGGATCATGCCTGAAGCCAAAATTGCATATACTGGCCCAATATACCTGAAGGAGCATCTCCACCCCCATTGTTCAGCCTGGAAACTGAGGTCCAGCTTCGAGGGCCTTCTGGCAGTTCCCTCACTGCAAGAAGTGAGGTTACAGGGAACCAGGCAGAGGGCCTTCTTGGTGGTGGTGCCCGCCCTGTAGAACACCCGCCCATCAGATGTCAAGGAAATAAACAACTATCTGACTTTTAGAAGACATCTGAAGGCAATCCTGTTTAGGGAACTTTTTAATATTTGATGTTTTATGGTGTTTTAAATATTCTGTTGGAAGCTGCCCAGAATGGATGGGGAAACCCAGCCAGATGAGTGGGGTATAAGTAATAAATTTATTATTATTATCATTATCATTACTACAGTGGTACCTCGGGTTACAAACACTTCGGGTTACAGACTCCGCTAATCTGGAAGTAGTACCTTGGGTTAAGAACTTTACCTCAGGATGAGAACAGAAATTGTGTGCCGGTGGCTTCGGCGGCAGCGGGAGGCCCCATTAGTTAAAGTGGTACCTCAGGTTAAGAACGGTTTCAGGTTAAGAACGGACCTCCGGAATGAATTAAGTTCGTATCCAGAGGTACCACTGTATTCCCAAAACACATTGAGTTCAGTGGCAGGTGAGATTTCTAAAGTCCTATTTCCTGGATGCCTGCCCCCTTTCAGCCCTCTTTCTCTTAAAAAAATATATGTTTTGGTCAAGTGTGTAAAAGCTGAATGTGCACAAATAAAATACACATAAGTTGTGGTCTTACTGTATTACTGTGGGCTTACTGTATGATTTACTCAGAGAAGACCCATTGAAATGAATTAACATGACAAGGGGCACATTTGCAACAAGCTTTTATAAGGCACGATGATGCCACTTTACACAATCATGGCTTCTTCTCCCCAACAATACTGGGAGCTGCAGTTTGTTCAGGGTGCTGAGAGTTATTAGGAGACACCACCCCCCCTATCCCTCCCCCACCACAGAGCTACAATTCCCAGAGTTCCCTGTGAAAAGGGACTGATTGCTAAACCACTCTGGGTGCAGGATGAAAAGGTTCACGAGAGAGATTTGAGGAATGGTGCTCACCCAGTGATATCGGGGTGGCTCTTCGTTCCTCGTAGTGCAGAAGATGACAACAGCCAAGGCAGCCCCCAGGAGGAACACCAGGCCCCAAACTGGGAAGACCCCATGGATTTTGTGAAACCCATCTGCAAGAGAGCAAGAGAATGGAGACACTAAGTTAGCCTTCTTATATTCAACGGGGTTGATTCATTCCTGTAATTTGAAATGGGGAGGGTGGTGTTGGGGTCAGCAAACTTTTTCAGCAGGGGGCCGGTTCACTGTCCCTCAGACCTTGTGGGGGGCCAGACTATATTTGGGGGGGGGGGAATGAATGAATTCCTATGCCCCACAAACAACCCAGAGATGCATTTTAAATAAAAGGACACATTCTACTCTTGTAAAAACACGCTGATCCCCGGACTGTCCGCGGGCTGGATTTAGAAAGTGATTGGGCCAGATCCAGCCCCCAGGCCTTAGTTTGCCTACTCACGGCTGATGGAGTAACGATGAACGATGGAGTAATGTTGGAGTAATAACATGCATTCGTACATCACTTTAAGTAGCCCAAAACACTTAGGAAGCAGCCTTACACCACGCTAGACTGTAGCCTTGTTCAAGCATTCTCTACAAATACACGAAGGGCAAAAAGGGAATCAAAGGGCCACACTGCCCTTGGGAGGAAAGGCGGGTGCTTACATGTGCCCGACTTCAGCGTGAGGATGCAGACAAGGGGCCCAGTGATGAGGTGAAGGCAGTTCAAGGGCCGCCTCCAGTTCTGATCTTCCCTGTCAGGGTCCACGATGGGCACAGTCAGCAGTAGCACAAACTCCACTGGCAGCTGGGGAGGAGAGAAAACGGGGGGGGGGTGGGTGAAAGTGCTATATAACATGTGGAGACGATTGCCACATCCGCACAAACGGGCATATCAAAGGCCGGGACTCTCTGGTGCCTTTTTAAAAATTCAAATTTGTTATTTAATTATTTCATTAAATTGACTGTTAAAAAAATTAATAAACCTCAAAGCGTTTTTTTAAAAAAATAACGACTAATACAATAAAAACACTTAAAAGCAACAATTTAATAAAACAACAATTTAAACATTCAAAGAATTAAAATCAGCAAAAGACAGGCTAAACCACATGTCAGCATTCTAGATAGCTAGATAGGCTTGCCTTGAAATGTTTTTTAGCAGGTGCCTAAAAGAGTAGAGTGAAGGTGCCTGCTTGATACAAACAGGCAAAAATTAATGTTTTTTAAACAATGTTTTTAATAATAATAATAATCAGTGTTTTTTCTGAGGGTATGCATACCCCTAAACATTTTGTGAATCTAAGTTTGGCTTCATTGAGGGGCAGTATTTCAATATGAGTAGGAAAATGAAAGTATCCCTAAACATATTTTTTTTTTAGAAAAAAGCACTGATAAATAAATAAATAAAGAAAGAAAGAAGAAGAAGAAGAAGAAGAAGAAGAAGAAGAAGAAGAAGAAGAAGAAGAAGAAGAAGAAGAAGAAGCAGCAGCAGCAGCAGCAGCAGCAGCAGCAGCCTATCTGAGTTGCCCCAGCTATTCTGGGTGGCTCCCAACAAAATACTAAAAATACAACATCAACCATAAAAAAACTTCCCTGAAAAGGGCTGTCTATCACAATAAAGGTAGGGGAAAAAAATACAAACATGATTTAAAATTCATATGTATAGACCCAACTGTGGCCCAAGTAATCTGTCACGCCTGGAGTTCTGGCCTAGGGGCAAAGATGGAGGACTTTAGGAGTCCAAAAATATACTGAGTAGAGGACACAATTCCCACCAGCCCTTTCCAGTTATGGCCAAGAGACAGGGAAGGGCCGCAGGTTCCTCCATCTCTGGCCAAGGTTCCCACACAACTGTCATCATCAATGTCTAGACTGTTATTTTGTGCTGAGGTAACTTCTGTGCTGTTTCATGCATGTCACAAGGAACACGCAAAAGCCACCAGAAAAGTGAAGTGGCTGTGACACCGTCTGCAGACCCTTTACACCTCAGAGACCATGGGTGTGAAAGTTGGACTTTAGGCGGTTGTTCACTGCCGCCAGCCATGAAGCAACCTTCTCCTCAGACAAGAGCTTCACAGACTGGGGTGGGGGGAAGAAGGGAGAATAGTGGAAGTAGAAATGTCCCAGTGTGAGGGACATGAGGCTCAGGCCACATTCACACTATGATACCACTTTAAACAGTCATGGCTTCCTCCAAAGGATTCTGGGAGCTGCTATTTGTCAAGGGTTTCTGGAGATTGTAACACTGCAGGAGGCAATACTACAGTTCCCAGAATTCTTTGAGGGAAAGAGAGTATACTTCGGAGGTGCTTTAAGCATGGACACCACATTCACATATCAAACATTTATTTAAAGCGCCATGATACCACTTTAAACATGGCTTTCCCCAAAGGATTCTGGGAGCTGTTGTTTGTTAGGTGCCCTGAGAATTGTTAGCATTTGAGTTGTTTTGTTCGGTATTATTGTACATGTTTGTGCAAAGTCCGTTTCTGAATGCTGGTCGCTGGCTGAGATAAATAAATTGATGGAAGTAAAAAAATAGAAAATAAAAATGCATTTAAAGAGAGTAACCTTGCAGATCTTGAGCAGCCGCCAATAGCAGGGCTTCCTCCTCCACTTTCGGTAATCCAGAGGATTCAAGGAGTGTGTCAGAATCTGGAGGGTGCTCTCTTCCGAAGGCAGCAAAGGTCGGTATTCTTCCCCTATGCGCAGAGAGAGGGTAAAGTGAGATAGATAGAGCCGGCCCAGAAAGGAGAAATTGACAGAGCTGTCAGCCGATTGGAAAATGTTTGCAGGAAGGGTTGCACAGAAATATTATTTACGTGTGGAGGAGGTTGCAGAGCTATCGAAGTCATTCCCCCCCGTCACACACATTCAGCACACACCAGGAGTTGTTCTATGTGCAAATGGTTGTAGAGCCCTAGTCAGGATGCATGCACAGAACTCCTTCCGACACATGTTGAATGTGCAGGGACTGGGAGATTATTGGATCATGGGGCAATGGGGAGAGTATACACTGCCCTCGCCCCAATTCCTTCTATGCATGGAGGGCTGTTTTATCACCCGCCTCTTGACCCATGAAATTTAAAACAAAATTTGTGGACTGCCAAACACCTTAATATAGGCTGAGAAATAGCAAAGAGCAAAGATGGTCCACAAACGAAAACCATACTTTTAAAATCATCATCATCATCATCATCATCATCAAATAGAAATATATATAAAAAAATTGTCCAGTGGCACCTTAGAGACCAGCTAAGTTTGTTCTTGGTATAAGCTTTCGTGTGCCACTGGACAATTTTTAAAAATTTTTTAAAATGTATTTCGACTGCGTCAAACCAACACAGCTACCTACATGAATAATAAAATAGACATTCATCTTTATCGTTTTTGGCACCATCCCCTATTACAGTAACACCCCAGGGAAAAAAACAACAACACTAGCAGTAAGCTAGTGTTCTCTTAATACACAGGTCCCTTAATTATTATCATATCCGCCAACCAATGCATCAACTAAAACCTGTTAGTAAATAGTTGTAAACAGTTAAAATCATCAGTAGGGTTGGAATATCACTTCTCGTTTAAGGGTGAATTCTAGACACAATGGAGATGTAAAAGATTTGGATCATTGTAAAAGATGCAGGAGGAAATGATTAATAACAGGACCCACAAAGGGGAGGATGGAAGTCCAGGAGATTCCTTGGAATCTTGTTTTTATGGATCTAGGTTCGATACATGACCTTAAAATTTTAATCTGAAAAACCAAATAATTTTTTTAATTTTTTAAAACCTGACTTAGTTTTGATCTTCTGATCAAAGGGTTGCAGCGCTTGTCGTAAGAGTTGGTGCGTTATCTGTTCAGCCCTCAGGAGACACGGGCTCAAATGTGACTCACCGTATTCGCCTCCATTGGCGCTCGAAGTGTCCCCATCTTCAGAGTCTGTTGGCAGCTCTGCAGCAAGGCGAGGAGAGGAAAGAATAATTACAGTGGTCCCTTGGTTCTCAAACTTAATCCGTTCCGGAAGTCCGTTCCAAAACCAAAGCGTTCCAAAACCAAGGCACGCTTTCCCATAGAAAGTAATGCAAAATGGATTAATCTGTCCCAGACATTTAAAAACAACCCCTAAAACAGCAATTAAACATGAATTTTACTATCTAATGAGACCATTGAGCCATAAAATGAAAGCAATAAACAATGTACTGCAGTCACACAATCTATCAATCAATCTATCAAAAACGAGAGAGCCGTAAAAACAAAAACGCAAAATAAATAGCAAAAACAGACAGATCTCAGCGTAACACTCAAACTGGAAGCATAACACTCAAAACAGAGCATGTTCGGCTTCCAAAAAAAGTTCGCAAACCGGAACACTTACTTCGGGTTTGCAGTGTTTGGGTTCCAAGTTGTTTGAGTACCAAGGCATTTGAGGTACCACTGTATAAGGGTTGGGAGGGTCTGCATGCAAAGCAAGAGAAGGATTTCCCTACACGTCTCTTTGCACCCCTCACCTGGCTCTGCAGGGATAGAAGGGCCCGGCCTCTCCCTCCGCTGCCTCTTGTGGAGCCACGTAGAGACGACGACCGTCAGGACGTAGAAGATGTAGAGACAGAGGTAACCTGCAGGGGAAGCCAACCCTTCACAACAGCCCGTTTGCCCTGCTCATCCTGCACCACCACACAATTTAACACAGGCCCCTGTCTGGGTACCCACTGTTACTTTTAGAGCACATCCGAAGAACATCCTTTCTCTCAAAGAATTGTGGGGACTGTAGTTCACCTGGTGGAATAAGGGTAATCCACAGCAATCCTTAATAAACTACAGCGCCCAGAATTCTTTGAGGGAAAGGATGTGTTTTCAATGTAGAGGTCCCAATCCTACCTACATTTAAGGCCCTGTGATACTACTTAGAACAGTCATGGCTCCCCACCCCCAAGAATCCTGGGAAGTGTAGTTTGTTTAGGGTGCCAAGATATTCTTATTACACTCTGAGAGGGGAATATATCTCAGCATGTGCAATAAGCTACAATTCACAGCTCAGAGAGAACAAGGCCAAATAATAGAATTGTGGAGTTGGAAGGGACCCCAACACTCATCTTGTCCATTGCTCTTGCAACCACTGCCAAAGAATCCCTGGCAGACGGCCATCCAACTTGTTTAAAATCCCTCAGTGAAGGAGAGTCCAAAACCTTCCAGGGTATAGTTCATTCTACTGTTGAACAGCTCTTAGCATCAAAATTTCTTCCTAATGTTTAGTCGGAATCTCCCTTTGAATCCACTGGTTCGGATCCTACCCTTTGGAGCAGCAGAAAACCAGCTTGCTTTTGATAGGCCTTCAAATAATTAACTAATTAATTAATTAACAACAACAATTTATATACTGCCATAGATCTCAGGACAGTTCACACACAAAAAAATCACAATATAAAAAACACCCCTCAGTCCTCTATTCTCTATGCTAAACATACCCAACTCCCTCAACTGTACCTCATAAGGCTTAGTTTCCAGACCCTTGATCATCTTGGTTGCCCTCCTCTGCACATGTCCCAGCTTGTCAATAACCTTTTTAAAATGGGGTGCCCAGAACTGGACAGAGAAGTCCAGGTCAAGTCTGACCAAAACAGACTAGAGTAGGACTATTACTTCCCTTGGACACTAGAAACCTGTTGATGCAACCTAGAATTGCCTTAGCTGCTTTTTGCTGTTGTATCATACTACTGACTCATGTTAAGCTTGAGGTCTATTAAGACCCATAGATCCTTTCTGCATGTACTGCTGTCAAGGTGGGTGCTGCCCCACCCCTGAATGTACATATAGAATCCTGAGACCCTCCAGGTGCGGCTGGACTAGGACTCTGGTCATTTCCCGATTATCAGCTGCACTACTGGAGAAAGCCACAGGTTCCCAAATGCCCTGGGACTTAGAGGGACCTTTTGCCCGGGCTAGGATGGTACTCGCTTCCCTTGGCCCTTGATATATACTCACTCAGGGCCTCTGCCAGGCTGACCTCCTCAAAGTAGAGGGCCACAAAAGTGAGGAAGACAGCGACCATGTAGAAGATGGCATCCCTGAGGAACGGCCTGGAGGCCGCAGTGAACGGCCTCACCAGGGCTATGCCACCGGCTACGACGGTGGTGACAAAGATACCAGCACCTGGAGAAAAGGAAAGGAAGGATAAGTTCCCACATAGCTGGAAGACTGGCAAGGCATGACTGCCAAGCAATCAGGGAGCCACGATCAAGGGTCTGCTGTCAGCACAGAAAGCCCTGAACCACGTAGGGCCAGAATACTTGGTAGACGGCCTTCTGCCGTACAGAGCCAGGCAATCTTTATGATCGTTGGACAAGGCCCTGCTGGTCATGCTATGACTGGCGGATTTCCACCCGGCGACGGCACAGAATACTAATAATAATAATAATAATAATAATAATAATTTTTATTTATACCCCGCCCTCCCCAGCCAAGGCCGGGCTCAGGGCGGCTAACAAGCAATAATAAAAACAAGTTGAATGAATACAACTTAAAAACAAGATTAAAATACAACATTAAAATATTGAAACATTAAAATATTAAAATGCAGCCTCATCGCAGGAGGAGAAAGGAAAAAGAAAGAGGGGGAGGGAATCAAATTGGCTCCAAGCCAAAGGCCAGGTGGAACAACTCTGTCTTACAGGCCCTGCGGAAAGAAATCAGATCCTGCAGGGCCCTGGTCTCATGAGGCAGAGCGTTCCACCAGGCCGGAGCCAGTGTTGAAAAGGCCCTGGCTCTGGTTGAAGCTAATCTAACTTCCTTAGGGCATGGGACCACAAGGGTGTTGCTATTTATTGACCTTGAGGCTCTCCGTGGGGCATACCGGGAGAGGCGGTCCTGTAGGTACGAGGGTCCTAGGCTGTGAAGGGCTTTAAAGGTCAAAAGCAGCACCTTAAATCTGACTCTGTACTCCACCAGGAGCCAGTGCAGCTTGAAAAGCACTGGGTGAATATGCTCCCATGGCAGAGACCCCGTGAGGAGCCTCGCTGCAGCATTCTGCACCCGCTGCAGTTTCTGGGACAGCTTCAAGGGCAGCCCCACGTAGAGCGAATTACAGTAGTCAAGCCTGGAGGTGACCGTCGCATGGATCACTGTGGCCAGGTCAGGGCGGGAAAGGTAAGGGACCAACTGCTTGATGCGGCGAAGGTGGAAAAATGTCGCCTTGGCTGTTGCTGTAACCTGCGCCTCCATGGAAAGGGAGGCGTCAAGCAGAAGCAGGCCTTGTCCCACACGCTAAGGCACATGGGGGTTTGCAGAGGGGAAACCCTGGCGACACGTACCAAACAGCGCTCCAACAGCTAAGCCCGCTGTCCGCGGGTCGGAGAAAGCCACGACGGCGCTGAAGACATCGGGTGCGCCATTCCCAAAAGCCAGGAAGGTGACACCATGAAGGAAAGGGCTAAGGAAGAAATGGAGACAGCAGTCCCAGTGGAGGGAATGGGCCTCATTCCAGGACATTGGCTTTGTTCTTTCAGATTTTGCACATGGCCAAAATTCGGTATGACCAACGCTTCTTGCCTTTTGTTCTGCTCAACTCAGTACAGTGGTAACTCTAGATGCGAACAGGATCCATTCTGGAGCCCCGTTCGCATCTAGAAGCAAACGTAACCCGTGTCCGCACGTCTGTGGGTCACGTTTCGGCGCTTCTGCGCATGCAGGTGACGTCATTTTGAGCATCTGCGCATGCACAAGCGGTGAAACCTGGAAGTAATGCGCTCCGTTACTTCCAGGTTGCCACGGAGTGCAACTCGAACGTGCTCATCCCGAAGCACATTCAACCCGAGTCATACCTAGGGCTACAGATGCTTCAGGTTGCGTTTTTTCGGGTTACGGACCGCCGAAACCCGGAAGTACTGGAACGGGTTACTTCCAGGTTTCGGCAGTTGTGCACGCGCAGAAGCGCTATATTGTGCTTTGCGCAGAAGCACCAAATTGTGACCCGCGCGTGCGCAGACGTGGGTTGTGAATGTGCATCCCGCATGGATCACGTTCGCAACCCGAGCGTCCACTGTACGCCACAGTTGCAATGCCCTTCAGCACCCAGCGCAGGGCTTTGCAGTTGATTAATCTGTTAGAAGGCGTTTTTTTAAACTTGGGGTGGGAAATCTCAGGCCAAGGGGGGCAAAGGAAGTCCTTCAGGCATTATCTGGCCCTCGGGACTCTCCCAGGAACCGCACCACCAGCTCTGTTGTGTGCCCCACCCTCCCTGCCAAAGGATTTAGTGCCTGGCCGAAACTTTGGTGCCTGCCTGTCTGGCGAATGGAGAGGAATGTGCTGCTGTAGAAATCTCCCTGGCTGGTATGGGGCATACTGTAGAAAGGTTGGGAGCAGCGGTAGCCAGCATGGTCCCCTCTGGATGCTGTTGGGACTCCAGCTTCCATTAGCCTCGGTCAGCATGGCCAAAGACCAGGGATGATGGGAGTTGCAGTGCAAAATAAAAAACTACAGAGCACCATGTTGGCTACACCCTTGGGCTAAGGGTCCCATCTGATGCTCCACCTTCTTTTTGCCTCTGGCCACGCCCACGCCTGGCATGTGGCCCTTGGGAAGTTGCCCATGTGAAAAAAAGGATTCTTCCACCTCTGGATTAAACCATCGCAATCCGGGCCGGGGAGGGGGGTTCAATTCACCATGTTCCTCCACCTGCTAGCAACAGACCACCCCTGGGTTAGATAACAGGAGACTGAAAAGACCCAATGAGCTTCCCCACTTTCCCACCCTTCTCTGGTGCCTCTGAGGACCCAGAACAAATTCACCAAAGGATACTGCAACATTGTGTGCTAGCTTCAGCTTGGTGGAGATGGCAGATAAGTTGGGGCAGAAGCTTAAGGGTGAAAGGAAAGAAAAAAAGGTTACAAGTTTGATGCATTGCCCGCCACCCCATATGAAGAATATAGGAAGCTGGTTTTTTTCAGAGTCCCATTATTGGTTTTGTATTGTCTACACTGCAGGATTTCAGACTGAGGTCCCTCCCAACCCAACCTGGAGACACCAAGGGGAATGGACATTTGCCACTGAGTCATGCTCCTGCAAAAAGGGGAGTTTTCTTCAGGAGGGCAGAGTCAGGCCTAGTCTACATGAGCAGCAAACTACAGTTCCCAGGTTTATTATTTTTTTGCGGGGGAGCCATGCTTGTTAACGCAGCAGAGGAGTGCTTTTAAATGCACAGTGCAGAAGAGTCTTGGGACTATTTTTAAGCAGCATACATTTAACAATAATAAAATATGAATGAATGACAAACTGGAGAGGAAGTAGAGGGAACCATTTCTGAATGACAGCATCCCATTTCCAAACAGCCTTATATCCTGTTATGACCCTCCCCCCCCCTCATTTGAAGGCTAGGAAGCCGCCTTTTAAAAACTTGCGGCGGAAGAGGAAGCGAGAGACACCCAGCGTTGCTGTTACTTACAATTTCTCGGCTGTGACCCCAAGGACGACAAAGAGATAAACCAGCCACAGAGCCTGCAGGAAACCCAGAGACAATTCCAGTCATGAAAAAGGGGGGGAAGGGAAGGACTCCAAAACATTCTGTGGCTTTCAAAAAACTGTACATAGTTCTGATAATCCAAAGTCTCAATAAATAAATAAATCTGCTCCTGAACTTAAACGCTCTTAGTACTCAGCTGCACCCTAAATTCTCAGAACAGGTGTCAGTCCGTTCCCTTTATCTTATATTTAATTGCAGAATACTGCTTTAATTTGTTGCAGAACCCTGGGTCAACTTTTAGGAGTGAAGGAAGCTCTTTTATACAGTCAGGCCACCAGACCATCTAGCTCAGGATTATCTGCACTGACTAGCAGTGGCTCTCCCCCAGTCCTACCTAGAGGTGCCAGGAATTAAATCTGGGACCTTCTGCATGCAAAGCAGGTGTTCTAACCACTGTGCTGTGGTCCCTCCTCTTCATCACAAACCCAACTTCCGATACTTCTTCAGACATTTGGTATTGAACATGCAGATGCCAAGAACATGCAGGCTAACTCTGTCTGCTAAGCTGTTGACCAATGTGCTCAGCATGTTCCTCTAGAGTTTTATTTGTTATACACACACACTCCACTTAAAGGAGGGGGGAACTCCTTAAAGCGGTTTAGAAAATAATAATAATAATTATTTAATAAAATGATAAAACTGAAAACAGGTCAAAACACGCACGCATTCTATATATCTTGGCCGGCTTGTCCAACTGTCATACAACTGATCAACTGCTAGCCCAAAGGGGCCCCTATGTATAGACAATAACAGTTCCCATTCTTGATTAGATAGAATCATAGATTTGTAGAGTTGGAAGGGACCCAAAGGATCATTTCATCCAACCCCCTGTAACACAGGATATATTTTGGGGGGCAATGTGGGGCTTGAACCCCCAACCCTGAGATTAAGAGTCTTGTGGTCTCTGGAGCCACACATGCACCTTCTGTGGTGCGCAGGTGGGCAGAGACGGGGCTTGCGTACTTCGCAGCCTTTTCACTTCCTTATTCAAAGATGCCTGAAGAGAACTCAGTACAGATCCTGCAAAAGCAAATGCAAATCAGGCAATTTGCCTTGGGCTAAACTCACAAGAGGAGATTCTCTGAAAAGATACCAAAATGCAAGTTCTCCTGCTCCACCTTCCTCATTCCTCAAGCTGCCCTTGCCCTGACCCAGCAAACACCCTCAGCTGCAGCGTCATCCCTTCCTGGTCCCTCTTCCCAGAAAAAAAAAAGGCAGATCCTCTTTCTTAAAAGGAGCCGGTTCCTTGCGCTTGATCAATCTGCCTTCCCACAGCTCCACCACATGTGGCTGCCATTCCTTCCCCCTAAGTAGCTGGCCTCTGTTGCACAGCCAAGCTCAACCGGCTCACGTTTGCTTGTTCTTGCTCAAAATCCCCCAGTGCCACATGCAACCTGTCAGCACCATGTGCAAGATACAGCTAATACAATGCCTTCTGGATCAGACCAAAAGCCGGGATAATTAATAATAACAATAATTTATTATTTATACCCCACCCATCTGGCTGGGTTTCCCCAGCCACTCTGGGCGGCTCCCAACAGATTATTAAAAATAGAATGAAACATTAATAACTTCCCTAAAACAGGGCTGCTTTCAGATGTCTTCTAAAAGTCAGATAGGTGTTTACAGAGGTACCTTGGTTCTCAAACTCCTTGGTACTCAAACAACTTGGAACCCAAACACTTCAAACCTGGAAGTAAGTGTTCCAGTTTGCAAACTTTTTTCAGAAGCTGAACGTTCTCTGTTTTGAGTGCCACACTTCCGTTTTGAGTGTTACGCTGAGGTCTGTCTGGTTTTGCTAATTATTTTGCGTTTTTGTGGCTCTTTTTTGTGTGACTGTGTGAAACCCAGTTCAGCTACTGATTGATTGATTGATTGATTGATTGTGTGACTGCAGTACATTGTTTATTGCTTTCATTTTATGCCTCAATGGTCTCATTAGATAGTAAAATTCATGTTAAATTGCTGTTTTAGGAGTTGTTTTTAAAAGTCTGGAACGGATTAATCCATTTTGCATTACTTTCTATGGGAAAGCGCACCTTGATTTTGGAACGCTTTGGTTTGGACTTCTGGAACGGATTAAGTTTGAGAACCAAGGTACCACTGTATTTCCTTGACACCTGACGGGAGGACGTTCCACAGGGTGGGTGCCACTACCGAGAAGTCCCTCTGCCTGGTTCCCTGTAACCTCACTTCTTGCAGTGAGGGAACTGCCAGAAGGCCCTGGGCTCTGAACCTCAGTGTCCGGGCTGAACTATAGGGGTGGAGACGCTCCTTCAGGTATACTGGGCTGATGTCATTTAGGACTTTAAAGGTCAGCACTAACACTTTTGAATTAAGCACAAGATCACTCTCCCCTCCTGCGGCAACTGATATTCAGAGGAGTCAGGAGGACCTCATGACATCTCCCAGACTCTGCAGTCAACCAGCAACGCAACTAAGGGGGGCTCCTAAAATCCCTTCCCACCCACCCAGATTCCTCTACTTTGGTCCTTACATAGAGGGTCACTGCAAGAGGTTGGAGAGCAGCAGGGAAAACGCAGAAAGCTCCATTGAGGTAGTTGAGAAACCCGCCATCCATCTGGCAGTCTGGGTTGTTCTGGATGAAGAAGCAGCGCCTGGAGATGTTTTCCTTCCCCACCTCTCTGCACTGGAGGGACAAAAATAAAATATAAAATTAAGAGACCAGAAATCCCACCATGAGGGTGCAGTCACTGCCAATCATTTTTTTACGGAGGGCCAACATGGTGCGGTGGTTGGAGAGTCAGATTTTGGACCTGGGAGACCAGGTTTCCAATCCCCGCTTGGCAGTGAAGCTAACTCGGCGACCCGTCTCTGCTTCTCAAGCCTAGCTCACAGGGTTGCTGTGAGGATACTACAGGGGAGAGAGATGGATGCATGCTGCCTTGAGTGTGCTGGAGGAAAACAGGAAACGTAAATGTACAGATAAATAAAAGTTAATTCTGCTTTTATTTTGGTTAGGGCATCTGCCTTGCAGGCAGAAAGTCCCAGGTTTAAATCTCTCATCTCCAGGTATGGCTGGGAGAGAACCCTGTTTGAAGCTGCTGCCAGCTGGTCTAGATGGAGCAATGGTCTGATTTATGGCAGCTTCCTAGGGTCCTGCTGTGTTCTCAGCCAAATCTACTGCATAGGGCTGTTGTTGTTGGGATTAAGTGAGGAAGGGGAGAACTATGTACGCCATCTTGGGCTCCTTGGAGAAAAAGGTGGGATATCAATCAATCAATCAATCAATCAAAAAATAATAACAAATAAAATTAAAAGGCCCACAGGAGGGCCTAAGACAAAGGGGAATCTGAATCTCCCTTATATAAGAAATCAAAGGATTCTTTTGCCCTGCTTGGGAAAGGCTCTCGAGGAAGAAAATGACGGAAGTGCCAACCTCTCTTCCCCAAGCCCTTTGCACGTTTCACAGGTGATTTGATAATTTTAGATCATTTGGGATCTTAGAGGCTATCCAGCCCAATCCTCCACTCAATGCCAGAGCTGTAAAAGAATGCCAGATGAAACTACAACAGGAACTAGGAACAGGGGGAAAGGTGTTAACAGCGAACACCAACAGTTAGGAAACCAAGTTAGCATTTGGGTCCCGCAGTTTTGCAAAGAGCTAAACCACCACCTCGGATTGTTCCCAGGAGAGCACAGGAGGAGCAGCTGACAGACCCCAGAACGCTGGCATGCTGTGTTCCTGGCTGCCCAGCCCCATTATGAGGCAGGCTGCTGCATTCTACACCAGCTGAAGCTTCCAAACAGTCTCCAAGGGATGCCCACATAAAAGTGCAATGCAGTAGTTCAGCCCTGGGATGAAAGAGGACCACAGGGGTCTTCTTCAATGCATTCACCCTCACACCATTACTGAGAAGGGTTACGGTAATACACTTGCAGAACTACCCCCCAGCTTGGCTCCGAGTAGAGAGAGGCCAGGAGTCAGGACTAATTTGGATCTGGGCTTGAAAGCAGCTGCAAGATAAGGGTGGAGGGAGATCTATGGGGCAGGCCCTCCCGCTGCAGAGTGAAATAACCGGCTCTGCCACAAACAGGCATTCCTGGCTCCCTTCAGAAGCATTTTCACTGGCTGAGCAGGCTTGAGCTCAGCTAGGTGTCCTTGCTAGGCAAGGGCCGAGCCCCGTTCCAGTCATAACACAATGTCAAGGAAGGCAATCTCTTTGGGATCTGCAAAATTCTGGGAGGCTTGCTGAAGAAACCCAAGTCACATTCACATCCTCCCTTTAAACCACGGTAATACCAGAGCTTTAAAGCTGTGGCTTCCCCAAAGAATTATGGAAAGTCACGCTGAGAGTTGTTAAGAGGCTATTCCCCCTCCAAGAACTACAATTCCCAGAGTGGTTTAACAATCAATGCCTCTTCCCAGGAAACTCTGATCCTTTTGCTTGGAGACTCCCTGTGGGGGCAAGCAATTAATAAATGCAAACAGTCAACCAAACAGCAATTTTGGTGGCTTCTTTCTGCCCCTTCGGCTACTCACGTCCACAGCTCGTCCTGAACTCAGGATCCTGTTGAGCTGTCCACTGGTGTCCAAGTAAAGAGAAGATGAGATCTTGGGGTCCTCTGAGCTATTGGGATATCCTACTGCGCTGGCCCCCTCGGCTGCCATGCAGGCCACTCCAAAGACCCAGAAAGTCCACATGGCAGCTGGCCAAATGTTTCTCCGTCCAGAACCGAAGAGGCCAGTCACCTTACAAAGCGAGGATGTCCACACTTTGTCCACGCTTTATGGCATCACCTGTCCGGGAGCCAGGGGTACGGAGAGAGGGGAGGGGAGTAAGAGAAGCCCCCCTGCTCCAACCAGCAGGAAATTTCACAAATTGCAGCCGTTGATGGAAATGGAGAAGTAGCCCCCTCTCCGTTCAGGCTGGAGAATTCTCTTGCAGCGGTTTCCCTTCGTGGAGAGAAATGGGAGCTGGGGAGAAGCAAAAGGGCAAAAAAAAAATGCTTTAAAACCAGCAGATCAAACCACCAAAAAGGTTTTCGCAACTACTAAGGGGAGAATCGATTTCATCAGAGAAGGTGAAAAGCTAAACCCTATTTTTTACATCACAGTGAGTCGGGGGGGTTGGGTTAAAAAACGAGATTCAAGCTCCTTCTCAAGCACCAGGGTGGAACACATATGAACATTTCAAAAAATGAACAAATTAAAAATTAGGGAGAAAAAGGAGAGGAAGAAAGAGAAATCATAGGAGTTACAGAAGGAAGACTCTGCAGAATGGCTGTTTCTGAGGGTCAGCAGCTGGCCAGTTCAACTTCCTCCTGCACCCTTTCTCCCCCTGGAGCAAAGAGGCTGGAATTTGGAGGGTGTCAACAGAGACTCACTACACACACTGCCATTCCCCTAATTATATCTTTATATGGATTTTAATTATAAGCTGCTCTCTGGTCTAATCCTCTGCTGAAAAGCAGGGCATAAATAACTCATCTATTTCATTTATTTTAGCAAATGTGCATTTCAAAAGGAGCCAGGACCGCAAACACCTACGCAATTTAAAAAAATAAAAATAAAAAATGCATATGAAAGCTGTTAAAGGACACAGTAAAACATCTAAAACAAATGTAATCAAAGCAGGTGTCTGGATAGGCCCTGCTGAAACAGGAAAGCCTGCCTAATGTCAATCGGCAGGGCGTTCCAAAGTGCAGGTGCTGCGGCATCAAAGGAAGGACTCCTTACAAGTAATAATTGCCCTTTCTGTTCCATCACTGTGAATCCCATTCCACGGTTCCAACTGGTGCTTACAGGCTATTTTAGCACAAAGCTTCTCCTCCGGTGAATCAGGAGACACCCTCTGGAGTAGGAAGGGTTTAAAAAATGTACTGCCCAAGGGCCGCATTCTCTTCTGGGCAACCTGTCAGGGGCCACATGCATGTGGTGGGCGGGGCCAGAGGCAAAAGTGGGAGGAGCAACAGATGTAAACCAAAACGGAAGGCTGGCTTCTCAAAGAGGGTGAGGTTGGAAAGGGGTGTAGCCTGAGGAGAGAGAGGGGTGTGGCCTGCAGACAGTTCTGAGGGCCAGGTAATGTGGAAAAACCTATCCCTTCCCCTAAAAAAAGGTTCCAGTCCTCATCGTTCCTCATAAAAAGAGCTGATTTAAAAAGGAACACAGGAGGTTGCGTTGTCCCGAATCAGATCATTGGTCCACCCAGCTCATCGCTATGCAGTGAGACAGGTTTACCTGCAACATTTCACCCAGATGCAATCAAACTCTGTTGACACTAAAAAGCATCTTTTGTCGGGGAATTCCTTTCACCGCCACCTAGCTAGCAAGGTCCACATTAGCATGAAACCAGGTGGTGTGGAAGGAGAGTGACAGAGGTCACAAAGCCAAATGATCCTGGAAATTCTGGAAGGTTTCTTTTTTTAAGAGAGAGAGAGAGAGAGAGAGAGAGAGAGAGAGAATTCTTATCAGCCACTTTGTTTACCCAGGCTGGCCTGTTCCAAGATAACGGAGGGGATTTGAAAACCTGAAAACCTTTCCCCAGAAGAGGGAGTTCAGCGCATCAGCCCTCCTGTTCCTAACACTATTTTTAAAGCAACGCTCTGTTTACAGCTGAGGCGTGTTCCGGTACACCTTGGGTTTTATAGCAATTTCTTGAGTTGATGAATCACATCTGCTTTTTCTCCAGCCGGTCAATTATATTTTTAGATAAAATGTGCAGATGGCTGAAACCTCAGTAGAAATGCTGGTTGTTTCCCACCCCCCACCCCCCTGTTGAGGAATTAAGGAAATGCAAGGAAACTTCCTAATGCTTTAATAATGCAAGGGTAGTTCATCGAATCACAGATTAGAGTCAGAAGGGACACTAAGGATCATCTGGTTCAACCCCCTGCAATGCAGGGATATGCCTACAGGAATCGAACCTGCAACTTTGGCATTGCCAGCACCCTGCTCTAACCAACTGAGCTACCCATCTCCAGATGGTGCTGTGCTGCGGCCCCAGTCGCCCCCTGACTATTGGTCATGCTGGCTGGGGCTGATGGGAACTGGAACGGAGACACATCAGAAAGGCCACTGGTCCCCTATCACCACCTGTAGGGATTGCCTTAGTTAATATGGATTTTCCCTCTGTGTTCAAGCAAGGAGTAAAGTGTGTGGACTGGGGAAAGATGCCCAGGGGCCTGCTAGAGAGGCATATGAGGGCCGCATTTGGCTGGAAGCTGTCTTACATACAAAGTCAGACTACTGAGTCCATCCAGGATGGGTAAAGGTAAAAGGTAAAGGACCCCTGGGACAGTTATGTCCAGTCAAAGGTGATTACAGTCATACCTCGGGTTAAATTTGCTTCAGGTTGAGCGTTTTCAGGTTACGCTCCGTGGTGACCCGGAAGTAATGGAGCGCATTACTTCCGGGTTTCACCGTTTGCACATTCGCAGACGCTCAGAATATCATCACGTGCATGCGTGGAAGCGGCAAATCGCGACCCGTGCACGCGCAGACGCAGGTTGTGTTCACTTCAGGATGCGAACAGGGCTCCGGAACGGATCCCGTTCACATCCAGAGGTACCACTGTATGGGGTTGCGGCGCTCATCACACTTTCAGGTCGAGGGAGCCGGCGTTTGTCCACAGACAGCTTTCCGGGTCATGTGGCCAGCATGTCTAAACCACTTCTGGCGCAACGGGAAACCGTGACGAATGCCAGAGCACATGTACCTTCTCATTGCAAAGGTACCGATTTATCTACTTGCACTGGTGTGCTTTCGAACTGCTAGGTTGGCAGGAGCTGGGACAGAGCAACGGGAGCTCACCCCGTCGCAGGGATTCGAACCACTGACCTTCCGATTGGGGGCACTGCAGTTGCTATTATTATTAGTAGTAGTAGTAGTATTTATTACTTATACCCTGCCCATCTGGCTGGGCTCCCCAGCCACTTTGAGCTGCTTCCAACAGATTATTAAAAACACCATAAAACATCAAACATTAAAAACTTGCCTAAACAGGACTGCCTTCAGATGTCTTCTAAAAGTCAGATACAGTAGTTGTTTATTTCCTTGACATCTGATGGGAGGGCATTCCACAGGGTGGGCACCACTACCGAGAAGGCCCTCTGCGAGGTTCCCTGTAACCTCACTTCTCACAGTGATGGAACCGCCAGAAGACCCTCAGAACTGGACCTCAGTGTCCGGGCTGAAAGATGGGGGTGGAGACACTCCTTCAGGTATATTTAAATAACAAAAATCAGAAATGGGTCCCCCAAAATGCATGTTTGGGTTAATGGTGGGTCCTGGGCCTAAAAAGGCTGAGGACTAGTGGGCTACAGCACCTAAATCACTAGAGGCAGAAGAGAAAGCACCACGTAAGAGGAAAGATAAGAGAGATACAAGAAATTCATCTTTCAGTGTAGCAGCACCCACACTTTGGAACTCCCTGCCTATTAAGACCAGGCTGGCACCTTCACTGTACTTTTTTTTATTCAGGCACACCTATACTTAACATGTAGAATGCATTTTAATCTGGTTTTTGGCTGATTGTTGCTTTAATTATTTTTTGAGTGTTTGAAAGATGTTTTAAACTCTCTCTTCTTTTTTTAACAATATTTTTATTTTTGCAAACCGCTCCAGGGCTTTATTGCAATCAATTGGTATATATTTTTAAGTTTGCAAAATAAGAGAATGAAAATGATCTATCATTGCCTCTACGACTAGAAGGACGATGCACCTTCACACCCACCAAACCCCCTTCAAGTTAGACAGAACTCAGAGACATGAAAGTCAAAAAAACAATCCCATGCAGCTTGCAAAGCTTGCATCACCGCCCTTCATACCACTGGCTGGAAAAATACATCCATTCAGTGATGGGTCAGCAGCCTGAGTCCGCAGTAATGTAGGTTTCCCGACACAAAGGAAATGCATTATCTCTAAACACACCCCATAATTCTTTTACGTAATTCACAATCACAGGACTTGGCAAGGTCCATTAGCTTTTAATGATTTAATGTTGCTGTGCTGCCACCATTTGCACCCGCTTTTAACATGCAAAGGGGGGGGGTCACCTGAACCCTTCTAATAATAGGCTAGTTCAGTCTTCCCCAAATTTGGTGTCTTCCAAATATACCAAGACTCACCAGCCCCAGACAGCAATAGGGAGTTATGGCCCCAAAGGGGGGGGGGGAGGGAGGCTGCACAGCAGTGAAAAGTAAAATGGTCAATGGTAAGAGCATCCACCGCTGCCAGTCAGTGCAGACAATATTGAGCAGGGTGGATCTAACTTGGTACAAAGCAATTCCCTATAGTTTTTGTCTCCTGGCATCCACTGCCTAGGTTGCGAACTTTCTCCCCACCACCAAAATATCAAATACTCTGGCCTGGAATACCAGCCAAATTCCAACTGTACCTTTGGGGAGGAGAGAGGAAAGGTGAGCTACAAAATAAATAAAACGATCTGGCCACAATAGAACCTCCATGGGCAGAAGCAGTTTACCTCTTCCGAGTGTCAGTTCCCAGCCACAAAGGGGGCATTCCCCTCCTGGTTTTTCCCCCTTCTCCCAAACAGACAGGGCTCTTAGCAAACGACCCAGTGGCCTTTACTCTAGAGGAGGCATAACGGGATGAGGCCGTTGGTCTGATCCCGCAAACAAAGCCAAGTGCCATGCGCGCTCGCGCGCAATTTCCCACCCACCGTTTTCTTCTCAATGCCCACCCGCGCCCATCTCCACGGTCCCGGAAGGCCAACACGCAGCAAGTAAACAAACCCTGCCCCGATTCGGATTGGCATCCATTTCTCCGGCTCTTGCCAAGAAGCGCGCCATGCGGAGTCCTTTGCCCGTCGTCTCCTTTTCTCTCCCGCTCCGCCCGCCTTGGCACGACGCGCCGGGCGCCTCCGACCCGAGCGCGCAAAAGAAGAGCGAGGAGGCGAGGAAGCGCCGCGCGGGATCGCGCCCTCCGTCTCCACGCCAGAAGCTGCGAGGCTCGGTTAGCAAGATCCTCCGCTCCCGGGCGATCGCCCTTTGCAGCCGGGTGCGCAAAGGCGCTGCTCCCTTGCAAAAGCCCTTTCCCGCCGCACCTGTGCGCTTCAAGCCACCGGCCTCCGCTGCAACTCACCGGCAGAAGCAGACAGCCCACCCGCTCCGACAGCAGCAGCGCAGCCGATCCCCTGCCTTTAGCCGGCCAAACAAGCCGCAACTCCGCCCTCCCTCGCCAGCTCAGCCCTCCTTCCCTCGCCAGCGGCTTAAAGAGACAACTTGCCTTTCCCCCTTAAAGGCGAACAGCCGTATTTCTGTTGCGTCCAAAAATCCGGACCACGAGGGACGCCTTGCGCTGTCCGCTGCAAAGCAGGCCAACGTGGGGCTCGAAGACTCGAACTCAGGGCCCTGAACTTGAGAGCCTCATGCTCTATCGACTATCCCAGCAGTCTTGTTGCAGCGCTTGGGCAGCCCCTATCTCGTGTTTATTAAGATGTAATTTTCTCCGAGTTAAACGGGGCTGGTTAAAACTTAACTAGCTGTATTGACTCTGCGGGATTACTTCTATTATAAATATTATAATATTTAGTAATACTAGTATAATTATTATAATATCTTAATTATAATAATTGTTTTTGTTGTTCTTTCGAGTCGTTAGTCCCTTGCCAACATAAGAAATTTCAAGCAACTTGCACAATTTTAAGAGCATCTGGTGGACCACTGTGAGAACAGGAGGCTGGACTAGATAGGCCTTGAGCTTAATCCGGTTTATATTGCCCAAGCACCTCTGTTCCCACAGAACACAGTCTCTCCCTGGCCCTGAAGATAAAGGCTATCCATCATACTGAATGGAGCTGTTAAATAGTGGATGTAAAAGAAATGGCTTTAATATCACAGTTTCTCAAAGTGGTAAATATTGGCCCCCATAGAGTCACTGTACAGGGGATAAATAAAAGCCTTGGGGTTGAAAGGGGACTGAGAAAGGCCTTCTCAGTGGTTGCTCCCAGAATTTGGAACTCCCTTCTCTTAGGAAGTTATACTGGCTCCCTCTTTGTTGCCTTTCGTCTAACAGGTGAAAATTTGTTCCAACACACTTTTGGGAACTGGTGCTGTGCTGTTTTTATTGTCATTACTGATATAGTTTTAATAGATTTTATATATGTACAGTTGTACCTTGGTTGTCAAACGCCTTGGTACTCGGACGTTTTGGCTCCCAAACACCGCAAACCCGGAAGTGAGTGTTCTGGTTTGTTAATGTTTTCTGGAAGCCGAACGTCCGACGGGGCTTCTGCGGCTTCCAATTGAGTGCAGGAAGCTCCTGCAGCCAATCGGAAGCCGTGCCTTGGTTTTCAAACCGTGGAATGGATTAAGTTCAACAACCAAGGTACCACTGTACCACAGTGGTATCTCGGGTTACAAATGCTTCGGGTTACGTATTTTCAGGTTGTGGACCAAGGGAAACCCGGAAGTACCGGAAAGGTTGTGGACCAAGGAAAACCCGGAAGTACCGGGTTTCGCCGCTTGCGCATGCACAGCACCAGATCGCATCATGTGCGTGCACAGATGTGGCACTGCAGGTTACGAATGCTGCGGGTTGCTGACGTTCCTCCGTCACGGATTACGTCTGCAACCAGAGGTTCCACTGTATATAGTTTTATTTCTATCAATGTTTTTTAATTATGGCTTTTAGTTTTATCTGTAAGCTGCCTTAAGTCCCATCAGGGAAAAGGGTGGGGTAATAATAATAATAATAATAATAATAATAATAATAATAGTAATAATTTACAAGACATAGTACAAAAAATAATAATTTGGAACCATTTTCACTTGTTTATTTTCCTTTTTTATGTTTTACCATTCCTAGTAATGGTGATTGATGATTAATAAACGTTGTTTATTTCTTAATTTTACTTCACATTCTTAAGAATTAAGATGGGGGGGGGTGTTCAATGTCAACTTTATAAGTCCATCAAAGTGGTGGATGAACTCAGACGGGGGAAGCCCTGCTCTGTATGATCCTTCGGCTATATCCCACCAGACTCTCCCACGCTGCATTCCACCTGATGGGCCAAAAATTCTCCTGGGAGAACAGGGGCCCTGTTACCTGGGGCTGGTGACATAACAGCCTTAAGAGCTTAAAAGATCAACACGGCATCTTGTGAAACTGCCCCACCAGGATCACATGAGACCCACTGAACTCAGCCACCCACGTTCCCATCGCCGTGCCCTATCACAGCTCAGGGAAGCTGCCGACTTTTTAATTTTTTTGCTGAAATAGTCAAGGGCCCTTTAAAACTCAAGAGTCCTGTGTACTTTGGCAAGACCAGGGTCTCCGAGTGCAGGTCTCCTTTGGAAGCTGTACTGTTCGCTTGGGGCCACGTGGGTGGGCCACAGAGTTTCTCTCTGCAACGGCAAATCCGTCCTCCCCTGAACAAAAGTCACTCTTTTCCTGAAAGCATGAACTTTGGAGTCAAAACTGCTAACTATTTCTCTCTCTCTTATAGTTAACGTAGATGGGGGTGGGTGGGAATCTGAAGTCATTGGGTGGCATCCAAATCCTTGTTACTGAAAGATTTTTTTCTGTACCGCCATGCATCCCAAACGCATCATTGAGACTGGAGGCAAGTCTCACTTCAGTAGAAGTACAGACTTGGCAAAGAACTCTTAACTTCTGGCTCTGCCTTAACTCAAATCCCCCCGGTTTACTATCCCTAGTACTTCAAGACTCCCATAAAAGTGCCTGGCTTAAATCCATCTAGCAAAAACTTCACTCTTGTGGCCTATCCCCACAACACCTACTCACTATGGGCCCCACTAAAGCAAACAGTCTAATTGGTCAATGTCTAAAAGATATCGAGCATCAGAACAACCTGGCCACTATAAGGAAATTCTGCCCTTGGTATGTTCAGTTTCCACCTCTCCATTTTGATTCTGTGGCCCCATATCTGCACAAACTCATTATCCCAAAATACGGACGTGCTTTTACACTTGCAAGACTGGATGTTTTGCCATCTGCGGTACTTGAGGGTCGATTCCAAAAGATCCCGCCTGAGAAACGTCTTTGCCCCTGTGGAGATGGTAGCACCGAAACAGCGGCACACGTCCTCCTGTCCTGTACTCTCTACAAAGACCTGAGGAATGAGATCATCACCCCACTCGTACTAACCATCCCAGGGCGCTCAGCCACTGCCACAATCTCCTTTCTTCTATCAGATCAAAATGAGCAGATAACAGCAAAGGTTGCTAGGTTCATAGCAGGGGCAATCAGAATAAGGGCCACTAACTGACTGCTGATTCAGGACTTTAAATTGTGCTTTTATATCAAATTTCCTTTTATGCGTATACTGTAATGTTTTACTGTTGCTATGGCCATTGGCTAATGTGAATAAAGTTTTATCTCTCTCTCTTGCATAGCTGTCAAGCGTCCCTTATTTGGCAGGACAGTCCCTTATCCCAGCGCCATGTCCCGCTGCTGTCCCTTACAGATGAGGCTTCGTTTGGCTACTGGCTGGGCTTTCTGCCTTTGGCTCGGAGGGGCTCAGCAGCTGAACATACCTGTGCCCGAAAAATCCCTTATTTTGGCTGCTGATCCCTTATTTTCGAGGCTGCTGGTCCCTTATTTTCAAATCTGTAAGTTGACAGCTATGCTCTCTTGTTACTGCAAGGATTTACACTTCTGCAGCGGAACCGCCCCCTTCACATAAGAACATGAGAGCCTGCTGGATCAGGGCCATTGGCTCATCTAGTCCAGCATCTTGTTCTCATGGTGGCCACCGGGATGCCCAAATGGGAAGCCTGCAAGCAGGATCTATGTGCAAGATCACTCTCCCCCTCCTGCAGTTTCCAGCAACTGGTATTCAGAAGCCAACTGTGGAGGCAGAGCACAGCCATCATGGCTAGTAGACAGCCATGAATTTGCTTAGTCCTCCCTTAAAGCCATCTAAGTTGGTGGCCACCACTGTCTCCTAGGGGAGTGAGTTCCACAGAGAAGGAAAAGTTCTGTTGTGGGAGTAGAAATCCTTGAGCCAATGGCAAGAGCAACTTGGTGCAACTTTGGATACCGTAATATCCTAGCATCAGGGACGCGGACTTATAAAAAATATTGGGGGGGCCCGGGAAAGCTCATGAATAATAAATAAGCTCATGAATATGCAAATAAAGTGGCGCCGCCTACTCGTGAGCGAATAGGGGAGAGCGTGCTGCGCCTATTAATCAGCTCCAAAGGAAATTGGGTGGAGCTTTTGCTCGGGAGGGAGGGCAGGAGGCATGCAGCCCGCCCCTCCCTGTGCATTTTGGGCTGGGGGAGGGGCGGCGATGGCGCTCTGCTGGAGGGGCGCCGGAGATTATTGGGGGGGGGCGGAGCCCCCCCAAACGAATTTTTGAGGGGGCTCGGGCCCCCTCAAGCCCCATGGAGTCGGCGCCTATGCCTAGCATATCGGAAGACATCAGATTTTATTCTAGCATATCAATTCCAAATGGAATACGCACGAACACTTAAATATAGTTTTCCTATAAAGATTTGCTGTCTATATAAAAAGCATCACTCTCCCAAAACAACAGGCTCTTATTCAGGAATATTTCAGTTGCTTTGTTAAACAATAAAAAGTCAAAAGAAGTTAATCAAGCAGGCTGTACCCTGTTCTTTCCCTTCCTCCAGATTGATAAATATAAAAATAATAATCAAAACTTGCTTGTAAATGGGAACTACAGTGGAACCTTGGTTCTTGAATGCCTTGGTACTCAAACATTTTGGCTCCCGAACGGCAAATACCCGGAAGTAAGTGTTCCGGTTTTCGAACGTTTTTCAGAAGGCGAACATCCGATGTGGCTGTCACCTATTTTTTCTGGGGCGCCTGTGCCAATCAAAAGCTGCACCTTGGTTTTCAAATGTTTTTGAAGTCGAACGGACTTCCAAAACGGATTATGTATGAGAACCAAGGTACCACTGTACCACTGTCCTGCTCCATGCTGCTTAGACACCATTTAAGTTTCCCACAATGCCTCTGGTGTAGGGTTTCTCCTCAAAGCAAGCCCAGCTTACCCTCTGCCAGCCCCACTTCGCACTAGAAATTTAAAGCACTATGAGCAGTTAGAAAGAAGGCTGATCGCCGAAGAATTTATGCTTTGTG